CCTGCTGGCCGTAGTACTCTAAGTCAACTAACACCTCCCTCTCTCTCACCTCACAACCCCCTGTCTCTCTCTCACTCACTCAAGTAAACAATGTGTTTTTGCTCGTAACAAGGATAATAATGTACTTGGGTTCATACAAAGGAGTGTTAGTACAAGACTAGCGAGGTCATCCTAAGATTACATCTTGCTCTTGTGAGACCACACCTTGATTATGCAGTTCAGTTCTGGTCACCGTATTACAGAATGGATATAGAATCCTTGGAAAGAATCAAGAGGAGAATGACAAGACTAATCCCGGGCATTAGGAACCTTGAGTACAGAGACAAGCTAAAGCATCTTAATTTGCACTCCCTCGAGAGACGTAGAGCGAGGGGCGACATGATAGAGGTGTATAAATGGAAGTCAGGGCTAAACAAAGGGGACATTACAAAGGTACTCAAACTATCCAACCAGGAGCGAACTCGTAACAATGGTTTTAAATTAGACAAATTTAGATTTAGGCGCGAAATAGGTAAACACTGGTTTGGAAACAGATTAGTGGATGAATGGAACAAGTTACCAAATATCATCATTAACTCAAATACACTGGATAGCTTCAAACATAGGTTGGATGCTTATATGAGCAATAGGGGTTGGGTGTAAATGGGACTGCCCAGTATGGGTCAATAGGCCCGCTGCAGTTTCCTCCATTCTTATGTTCTTATGTTCATGGTCGACCAGTCACCGGATAGTCGACCAGTCACCAGATAGTCGACCAATCATAGGATAGTTAAGTATGAGAACAGTTGGGTACTGACAGAGTAACGGTGTGCGGTGCGGTGGACAAGTGTATACAGCACTCGCCTCCCGTCCTAAGGGCCGCTGGTTCGCTCCCCGGGCCAACCCTAATCTCCACCCAGCTGTGATTGGCCGCTGAACTTTACAACTGAGTAATTGAGTATACAGGATAGAAGCATGAGGGGGAAGGCACTTTGCTTTAGATGGCCTTCAGTTCCTCACACAAGGGGGGAGGTTTACTATATAACAACCCTTCACTCCCAGCTGCCTTGTGGTCACCCTGACAGACAAATACACTAGAGGGATGGGGGGCATAAAGGGTGACTTAAAAATGGTTCATAGACGCCATTTAAACCTCCCTTGACAAACATCCCTCACCCACGAGCAAAAACTAAACAAAAACTACCAGTCAAGTCAGGAGAGGCGGGCGTTAGGTTGTTGATATAAAGTTTACCAGTTTAATATAGCTCATTTACGACAGTTTATTGGTGCTATATTATGGCAGTTTAGTATAATGTATTATGGTGTTAAAAACATAAAATAGACTTAACTTAATTATATAATATACTCATACGTCTGGTTTGTTTACTTCCCGCCCTCAGACCTTGTTGCCAGATGCCAGTACGATATGTTTTCCCCCGTAGCTGGCGATAAGAGAGCACTTGTGATCACAGTGGAGTCTTCATATTACCTGCCATCTTTATATCATAGCTTTAGGGGAGGATTACCTGGCGCTCCTATCTGTGTGTGTGTGTGTGTGTGTGTGTACATTAATCAAAAAAGAAAAAAAATATTTATAAATTTACACAAAAGAAAATAGTTACCCATAGAAACATCACATCAAGGTTAATTTAAATGCCTCAGGGTTAAGGATAAAGCCTCTATAACCTTCACAAGAACTATAACTCAAATAGATCGATTATAGCGAACCTTGACCTATGGGAAAAATGGCTGAAGAAAAAAAGAGAGTTGGTTCGTGGTTCTGGGTAAACATCGATTCAGTGTTCGAGGTTAAAATTATACATTAAGCTGTGGGTGTTTAGTGGTAATGACCTGGGCCATCCTGTGTAAATGTTGTTTCATAGTTCGTTAATGTTATGTTGTTGCTGCTGGATTTGTAGTGTATATAGGGTGTGTTAGTGTAGAGTGTGAAGGGGCGGGCATAGAGTGTGAGGGGGCGGGCATAGAGTGTGAGGGGGCGGGCATAGAGTGTGAGGGGATGGAGTTAGGGTGTGTTGGTGTAGAGTGTGAGGGGCGTACAGACACACACTGGTAATAACACGTCATCTCTCCGTCCGTCGCCGCCACCAGATCTGATTTCGCAGGTTGTGATTCACTTGTTCAGGGGAAGAGGAGGAGGAAGAATGAGGAAGGAGGAGGAGGAGGAGGAGAAGGGGTGTAAGAGAGGTAAGAGGAGGAGGAAGCCACGGAGGGAACGAAACGCTATCACATTTCTTACTGGCCAACAGGTAATCCGGGTCCTCTCCTTCGCCAGGTAAACCACTCAGGTAACCCGGAAATATTTATCGGTACAGTGATGTCAGAACTAGAGTAAATACGATCATCTTTTCATGTAATTGGGTTCTGATCGTCCTGTATCTAATTTCAGTCACTTAAACCCATAGATGGTCTGACTGTAGTGTGTTTTGAACGTATCCCAGCTCAGGTCATCGCCACCAGTCATCCTAGCTCACAGATCTCAGCGTATGTTTATTGCCTCTGTGAAGTAAGTTTGCTTGGAAATTGACTCTGACAGTGTGCTTTTGAGGTGACGTTTGTAAGAAGTGAGGGAGTGACGGGGACTGAGAGAGTGGCGTGGGCTGAGAGATGGGGGCTGAGAGAATGACAGGGCTGAGAGAGTGGCGTGGGCTGAGAGTGGCGTGGGCTGAGAGATGGGGGCTGAGATGACAGGGCTGAGAGTGGCGTGGGCTGAGGTGGCGTGGGCTGTGGCGTGGGCTGAGATGGGGCTGAGATGGGGGCTGAGAGATGACAGGGCTGAGAGAGTGGCGTGGGCTGAGAGATGGGGGCTGAGAGAATGACATGGCTGAGAGAATGACGGGGACTGAGAGAGTGGCGGAAAATTATCATGATCTTCAATAAGGATGAATAGTTTATTATTATAGAACTGCTACTTTTGGTGTGTGTGTGTGTGTGTGTGTGTGTGTGTGTGTGTGTGTGTATCCCAACCTTTGTTTACAATATTCTCTGAGCCGTGAAGAGTGAGTGAGAGAGTGCGAGTGTGAGGTGAGTGATTGAGTGAGTGACAATACGTGTGGTGGAGGATGATCCCTAGATGGAATTTTTGTGGTGGAGTGTGGTGGTGGTGGTGAGGGGGTATATCAGGAGAGAAGGTTGAGTATGTTGGAGTGTGGTTGAATATGTTAGACTGTGGAAGAGTGTGTTGGAGTGTGGAGGAGTATGCTGGAGTGTGGTGGCAGGGAAAATCGTATCTAATTCAAGTGGAATAACAAAGATTGGTTCACTATGTATGGGATGTTAAAATGTAAGCCACAATGACAATATTTATAATATGTTTTGCCCAAGGGCCGATGATTAGATATCCAAGTGAAGTTTTATAAACGTGTGGCTCATATACAGGGCAGACACAAACGGACAGATGGATAAGACGGGGCACACTAACGAAAGCAGGAAAACACTTGCCACAGCGGAACACAACACGAAGGATGGACTCAAAGTAGATGTTGGCAATGTTGACAATTGTGTGTTGACTCTGAGCTGTTGCAAGGAGGAAAGAACGACATGCCCAATACTGTACTTGTCAATAATGCGTAATAGTAGCGTAACCGACCGTCCAAATGGCTGATAGGTCGAATGGGAGCAGAGAGAATAAAATGGAATTAAAAGTGTATATTTCTGCGTCTCAGCCCTCCGTCACGGCTTCCAGGTTATTCCCTCACCCAGTAGGTAATGTGTGTTTGTCAGCCGTGAGCGAATAATAACAGAGACGTGACCGATCGCCCGAGCGGCTAACGAGCCGATCAGTGGCGAAGAGTATAAATCACCCGTATTATTAAACAACATCTTCCCTTGAAGAGGGTCGTCGTGTGTCAACCAGAGCTTTAAACTAAATGAGTCCTGAGGGACACCGCAGTACAGTACCGAACGGGGTGGTGTGGCGGTAAAATTAACTAATTCCAATAAAATTAATTTATAATATTGGAATTAGTTCATTTTACCGCCACACCTCCCCGTTAAGTACAGTACTGCGGTGTCCCTCAGGACTCATTTAGTTTAAAGCTCTGGTTGACACACGACGACCCTCTTCAAGGGAAGATGTTGTTTAATAATACGGGTGTAAAAGTAAGTAAAAAGGACCCACTAGTGTAAGAACCCCGGCCCCGGGTCTCGTGGTGTGGTAAAGTGGTTCGCGTCCTTCGGTTCTCTTGATGTAAAGGACTGGTTCACAGACTTATGGGTTTTCATGCAGCAATCTACCGGTTCGTATCCCGTTGATTCATTGTAGTTTAAGGACTGTTATAACGTTTGGTGTATACTGTATTATAACGTTTGGTGTTCTTGATGTAAACACCTATTCGAACCTTCTGAATTTCACAGTATCCGGTTCACAAACTTCCTTTCATATATTCCAAAGTTGCTGACATAGGTGGAACAAAGGCCGCATATATGGGATCAGTAACGTAAACAAAATAAAAACAACAACAGGGATACATTTGTGAAGGTTTACTCCCCGTGACGATATGAGCAATTGTAGTTAGTGTGTAGTAGAGGCCGAGGGTCACTGGGGGGGGGTGGTCATGGATGGTTATTGGGCGGTGTGGCTTCCCTGGTGTAGCGGTTAATTTCTCCCATGACAGACGAATTGGTGGGGGTCGGTGATAGTGTTTTGTATCGTGTTGACTGTAAATATTAGGAGTGACATTATCTTAAGAGCTTTAGGATCACCCGAAGAATCGTCGCCCCAGAGTTCCGGCAGGGCGACAGTTCTTCAGGTGGGATATCCTGGGGTGACGATTCTTCAGGTGATCCGAGCTTTATTTGTGTACGGTATTGTTAGCTCCTAAAATTAAGACCTTTTTCATCACTGATAATGTCAACTTGTACATGACCTTCTTGATCAAATGGTTCAATGTTATGTAATGTATATTGGTTTCTTCGAGGACAAGTTACCATGTCATTTTGTTTTACTGTTGATGATGATATTACGAGGGTGACAAAACCTAATTATTCTCTCTCACCCACAGCGGAGGAAGACAAGGCTATTGGTGCTATCCCCACGAAGCCTATGGACTCCAAGGACCTGCCCAGGATATGTTCACAGCACCGTCGCTACCCTATCCTCTACAAGGTCGAGTTCCAGGTCAGTGCCAGCCTCTACAAGGTCGAGTTTTACTTTACTTTTACTGTGTGTTAATCATACCAGGTAATAATATTAGTATTAATAAAAAAAATATGTAATGGACTAAAATTACAAAGGTTTTATAGTCGGACAGAAAGAATATTGTATAATAAAAACTGGAATAGAAAAAGAAGAGATAATTCATAAGTTTAAGAGTTTTATAAAATTAATGTTTTATTAAGGTTGGTCTGACATGCTGACATTTATACATTATATATATAGCAATTGTAGTTTGTGTCTCTTACGTCCGTGTTGCGTCAGTGGATTGCAGTTCATGTGAATCATGTTGCATATTTACAAATTTTATTATAACAGCGTTTATGTTGCAGATGGCATCAAAGGTGGAGCCACACTCTCTGCGTCACGCGCTGAAGGAAGCAAATGAACTCAAGAACACCAACAAAAGAAGTATTGCTTGTAAGTTCTGTTCATTATCTAGTTTTTATTTTTGGCAAATGAAATGATACAAGCTTGAGGATGAGCCACAGTCTGCATTATATACACAAGGTCATTATTAATGCATGGTGCACTGCTGAGACCTGTGTGTATTAAAGCTCTCGCCCATGAAACATAATCGGCCTACAAACCACAACACAGTTCTGTAATGCTAAAATTACAGATGGTAACTGAGGTTAGGGGGCTACAGTAAAGGTGTTGAGAAATAAAAAAATAGGTACAACAACTTATCTTGAGTTTACTAGTGATGGCGGGATGTTATGGTGGTTGTGGTGAAGATGGTGTGGGGAGTGGGTAGAAGGAAGATGGTGTGGGGAGTGGGTAGAAGGAAGATGGTGTGGGGAGTGGGTAGAAGGATGATGGTGTGGGGAGTGGGTAGAAGGAAGATGGTGTGGGGAGTGGGTAGAAGGAAGATGGTGTGGGGAGTGGGTAGAAGGAAGATGGTGTGGGGAGTGGGTAGAAGGATACAGGGTACTCCCCACTGTTTCCTTCTCGGGATCCCGGGCGTAAGTGGTTATGGTTTTTTTTCCCGGGAATTTGGTTCAAATCCCAGGATTCTTATTGTTATTCCTTATCTCTGATTTGCACTATGTAAAATACAAAAAACGCATGAAAGAGAGAGAGAGAGAGAGAGAGAGAGAGAGAGAGTCTGACAGAAGTGACGCGTACCGTTCCTGTAGACTTCTGGCCCTCACCGCGTCTTGCTCGGGTCCCGGCCTTAGCCGTGTTTATCTCCCTGCAGAGGTGTGTTGACTGTCCAGTAATCTGTCTGTATATGATGCCAAAATGTAAGCCATGATATAATGGTGAATCTTGGCTTGCATGATACAGAGTACGGACATGTGACTGATATGATAAATTAACATAGTGCCTACTTAGTGTTGTTATTGTTTTTCAGGTGATTTTGCTAAACTATGGCCGAGTCATATGCATGGCAATATTTTGATAGACTGAAAACTGAGGAATGGAATGAGTTTAATTAAAATTTTGCTTGTTTAATCATATCATGTACCTATTTTTACAGCAATATGCAAGTTAATAAAGAGAACTTTGCTTCAGTGTAATATAACTTCTCAAATCAATTGCCTGTCAAATAATCTACAGATACTACACTAATGAAGTATGTAGGGTTAGCATATAGCATTAGTTAGTACAAATATCACTTGATTCGGGAAATCCCTGGATCCCGGGAAATATCCTGGTTTGTTCCAGAATCTCGGGATGCTAAGAAACCCCCAAAACAGTTAACCCTACTCCCCACCACCCTCCAGGGTTGTGATGAAACCCCACACAGGTAGCACAGGTTGGAGAACTTGTGGTGGGTAGTGGATCCTCGACATTAAGTGACAGAGGATCGTGGGTGAGAGTGGAACTTCAAGTGAGTGTTAATCTTTAGGTGAAAGTGGAGCTCCAATATAAAGCTCAGCCGTAGAATTTGCTACATCATCTTTTCTTCAAGAGGCTAATGTTTCTGCCATTCTCTGACAGATGACTACAACAGAGTGGTACTGGATCCACTGCCTGATTCCCCAGACTCAGACTACGTCAATGCCTCATATGTTGATGTAAGTTACCATCAACCTTTTGTGATCGTCTGCCGGAGATTTACATTTTAGTAGTTATATGTGTATTAGGTAAGGTGTGAGAGGAGTGGTGCAGCATTTTAATTTGTATTGGTACCCAGTCACCTGCACTTTTACATGATACAATGGCTGGTGCATTTTGTGAGATGTGGCGACCTGTCCAGGAATACTGATGTAGTAGCATTAGTCTGACTACTATGGTGAGGTTCTTTAGGGTCATTCGGGGAGTTTTAATTTGTTGTAAATAAAAACAGAGTTGCTACATCTCACAAAACGTGCCAGCCACTGTACCAGGTATAAGTGCAGGTGACTGTACAGTATATATTTAAAGAGAGAGTACAGTATTTCCTATTTTTTAATATTAATGTCCAGTACTAATGTAAGTTTCAAGCTCCTTACAGGAAGCCAGAGTACATCCTCAGTGTCATTAACATGTAGATTTATTTGATGACTCAAGACCCCTGTAGAAACTGAAGCAATTTAGGTTCTTTAAAGATCCAGTTCAAGCACAGTTGTTCACAAGTCCCTCTGCTTGATCACTGTATTATTTAATACTATTTTGACCTTTATCTTGAGTAGTGTTTAAAGTCTTTACTGTACTGACCTCTGGTTCATCACTGTCTTAACTAAATGCCCTGACCACTATCTGGCCCACTGTGTTGACCTCAGTCTTTGGCCCAATACATATCATGTTTTAAACACAAGTTTAACTGGTTTTAATTCACTCTATCTTCTTATAGAGTCTTCTAACACCAAAGGCCTATGTAGCGACACAGGGCCCATTAGAAAACACTATTTGTGACTTCTGGCGGCTGGTGTGGCAACAGAAATCCCGTATTATCGTCATGCTTACCAAAACATTCGATTTTATTAAGGTAAGCAATAAAAATTTACAGTAACTTGGAGGTATATTGGTGAAGAGTTAGATGTTGTGCTTGTTGTAGGAAATTATTTGACTATATAAGTTTGAGGTCATTCAGTCACCCATTAAAAGTAATATAAATTTTTGAGAAAATGAAATGAAAATTAAAAGAAGGAAATTAATACATTTAGATCATCGAGGACAGCTGTCAACCTTGAGTATAATAAACTTGTTTATTATCTCTCACTTGCACAAGAAGATAAGTTTTAAGTAGAGTAATATGTTATACTTAATGGTCTGGATGATAATATTACTGAATAAAGTGAGATTATAAAATTGATATCAGCTGAAACAGTTACAAGTGATAGCAGTCAAACCTGGAGTATAGTTGAATATCATAGACATCCTTCTCACATCCGACCTGGGGATTGAACCCAGGATGTAGTGATAAGAGGTTAGCACACTGCTGCTGTACAGTACCTTTGTCAGATACTAGACATACCTTTCATATCTATGTTCTTTTAAATAACCAACAGCTTTCAATATCCCATTTTTCTCACCATCAGGTTATGTGTGTACAATACTGGCCAGCGATGGTTGGTTGCCCTGATCACTATGAGGGCATCAAGGTCGACCTTCTAAAAGAAGAGCAACTCGCTAACTTCCAGATCCGCACGCTAAAACTCAGCTTAGAGGGACATGTGAGATATTATTACCTTCTCTTAGTGGTTGGTTTTGGGTCCTATTTTGACCTATTCTTAGTTATAGAGCTTTATATATACTCAGCCTTGTAAGTATAAATCTTTCAGTTTCTCTTCTTAGCATTGTTTGTAATTTCACTGTAGTACACTCTCTCTAAAAAGTACAGTATATCTATGATTTTGTATGAGACAATATGACACAGCAGACGAAGAATTTGGGCAATCCTACCGAGACAACAGGAGTCATATTGTTCTTTTTGAAAGTCATCAGCCCCCTCCATAAAGATACTTTTTTGAGCGAGTGTACGGATACCTGTATTTAGATTCAAGTTGCACTACACTATATTCAGTATATTGAATTTCAAAAGGAAGTCACTTGAAAACAATAGCATTACCCAGTATATACTGTACTGCGGTATCATATAAATTTGATAAAGTTTTGTTTGTTTAAATGGGCGACAGTAATCAAATATTTTCCTTCTCCTCCAACAGCCTGAAGAAGAGAGAGAAATAGTACAGTTCCACTACACAGAATGGCCGTCACACACGCAACCTTTCATCAATGGCCTCTTAGAGTTCCGGCGGAGAATCAAATTATGGACGCAAGCCAACCTCACTCCAGCTGACGGCCCCATCATAGTACACTGCAGGTGGAGAGACAATCAGCTGTCTTGTTTAATATTTGTGGATATCAATAATTTATGACTTTTAGAGTTTAATGTGAATCTGAGTGAAGAAGATGGGGAGAAGAGATTGATAGGTAGGTAATGCACTGACATGGCATAACAGGACTTGAATAGAAGATAAATTAACAGTCTAATTCAGCTGATTTGAGTTAAGCTGACTATGAGTGAATGAAATGAATGTAAAAGATAAGAAAAACTAGAAATATCACTGAATCCAAGTTGGGTACAAAGAGAAACGCTACTGAGAGGATGTAATACAGTACTGCATGTACACTGTAATCTATGTAATCTTTATGTTTGTTTATATAAATTTTTAAGTCGAGTGTTTCTCTCTAGTGACGGAGGTGCAAGGACGGGTGTGTACATGGCTGTTGACGCCAACCTTGAGCTACACGAGGAAGATGGGAAGTTCGACATCTATGGTTATGTCAAGAGATTGAAGCAGGCGCGTCCAGGACTGATCGAGACAGTGGTACAGTACAAACTTTACCTCCCCCCCCCCAAAGTGGATAGGATGATGAATTTAATATCTTTAACCCTGTGGTACTCATGGCCATGGTCGGAAATCTCAACCCCTCGTGGTCTTTTGATGCAAATAGCGTCATTTGCAATCTCACCCCGTCACAGTCTTTTGAGGCAGGTTGCTTTGGAAACAGGAACGCTTTTCTATTTAAGTAAACATTGGGTAGAGTGATTCAGACCCAGGTAGCACCCTTAGAGATGCATCTGCCAGCCCACGTGGCTAGTGGGAGGAACTTGGGTGGTTGATAGGGCCAGTCCACTGTTCCAGCATTTCTGCTTACAGGAAGGGGTGCTCTCAGTAAGATATAGCTGAGCAGGGAGGTTCGGGCCAGCACGGGCGCGCTTAGCGACACAATCTGCATCAAAAGACCACGAGAGGGCTAAGTGGATAGGGTGATGAATTTAGTATCTCACTGTAAGGTTTGATTAGATTTATTTTATTCATATAATATGAATCTCACTTAATATTTTACTTACATGACTATGCTTAACACTTCTCACGTCCATATACTGTTGAAAGCCGAGTCCAATGTTTGTTTCGCAGAATCAGTATCGGTTTGTATACGATGCCCTGGAGGAGTTCCTTTTATGTGGCTACTCCTTCTTCCCCGTTAGTGAACTGTCTCAACGTCTCAAACACAAGTCTATGAAGATCAACGGGAACAAGAGCGAGTATCAGATAGAGTTCGAGGTAAGAGTGTTTTGTGTTCACTACAGGGTATTATGTTTAATTTTTTTTATGTAATACAGTTTGATTTTGCAGTTGATTTGTCGGTTTGTTCCTGTTTTCATGTCCGTTCATTTCATTATTTTATTGAATATGAAGACATAGAAGTACAGGTAGTAAGACTATCACTCCTGCAGTGTAGCACATGAAGTCTCCTCCATGCACTTCTCTTCTTGTTTATGGTATAGTTGATTCCTTAAGACCCACAGTGTTCTTGTCTACAAAACCCCTTCATTCTATTCCTCATTTACGGTATGTTTGTGTTTGTCAGGTCTTCATTTTCCCTCTTGTTTATTTATGACCTCACACACTCATTCTCCTACAGCGTGTGGTTTTCTTTCATCATCGTTAGGGTCATCATCACTTTAGGGTCGTTTTCCCAGCTTGCGTGAGGTGTGATTGAGTGATAGCAAGGTGTCCTCCCAGTTACCATCAGGCAAATTTGAAGCACATGTTACAGCTGGATGTCCTTATCACCAACTCAATTTCCATAGAGTGGGAACCAAGTATTAGATGTAGGACTTCCAAGTGCCCTCTTAGCTAACAAGACAAAATAAAAGTAAAAAGTAATATCAGTATCATTTTTATTTTTGTCTGCTTTTCTTGGTTCATATCTATATCTAAAAAAACAAAAAAAACATTAATTACTTGCTTGATACTTGACACTCTACCTATGACTCTTTACAGCACATGGGGGTAAACCAAACTGTACCTTTCATTCCAATGGACTCCACCACAGTTGTATACTTGCCTTCTTTCCCTCATCACTTTCACGGGGCAACCAATTGAACTCTCTCCAACACTCACCCATATCTTGAATTCAAACTTCCTTGGAAAAAATCAGCCTCATCATCTATTGTACCAGTTTCTCCACCATTCCAGAGCTGTCCACCATTTTAGATAACTGATACAAACTTGTGCATTTTATTGGTAAGCTTCTTCCATCATAGGACCTCCTGTATCTTAGGAGTCATTTGTAGTACCAGAGGAGAGAGATCTTGTTCCTTTGTCACTGAAAGATAATACATGTAACTTTTAATTTGGATATTATAATTTAAAGTCACATATTTAGTAATTTAGATTAAAGAATAAAATAAAAAAGTAATAAAGAGTACAGAAAATGTATTTATTCTCAAATACATTATTATGATATGACCTTTACAATATACTACTGTACAATACACAGTACTTTATTTAGCTATTCAACATAACAGTAATTTTATAGGTACAGTCACCCACACAAATCCTATCACCTCACCTGCTGCTCCACGAACCCCAAGTCTGAATCTTAGGGTTCATGATTCAGGAGGAGAGGGGACAGGACTTCTCGCCATTACTGTACTGTAATTCATACATATTTTGTGTCTTGTTGTATGAAATCAATGTCTGTAGTTTGTGTCTTGTGTAATTTGTCTTTTATTTCCTTGCAAGCTTCTCCAGTGGTTGAGGAATCATTGGTAATGAGGTTGTGTCAGGCTTCATCTTGTGTACAGTCTTGGTCACTTGTTTACAGTCCATGTGTCATCAATGCCTTTGATCGTGCAGTCAGTTGTGTATTACAGGGTGCTGTCTGTATGTGTGACTACACTATGGAAGTAGTTATGCACTTTTTTATGATGATAAACTTTAGCATATGTGATAATGTACTATCTGCTTGGATGGTGATACTGTATATATATATATTCATCACACATGTAACATTGTATTCTGCTCACAAGTAGCTAATGAAATATTATTGTGCATTAGTGTACTGTCTCTCTATTGCAGTGTACTATTTGTCAATGTAATATATTACTACAGTATAGTCACACACACGACCATAATGTATATTCACTGATGTCTTATACACAGCTTGCACATGTGATATATAAACTTCTCATAAGTGATAGTGTACAGCTTGCACTTTTGATAATAACTGTCCACACATCTGTAGTGGTATGATGCCCACACACAACATAAGCCTTGCTGAGGTGGAGGATTTTCAGGACATGTTAAAGTGATTCCTCCGTGTGTTGTTGTGTGCCATGCATTGATGTGTGAAAAAGTGTTCTCCTTCATTGGCAGAACAGAGATACTAAAACACATCATTTTGGTATTGTAAGATATTTAAACTATTATTTCAAGGTATTTTATTCTGGTAAAATATTGTACAGTATTGTAAAATATCCAGGCTATGTGATTAAAAGACGCATCACTCTTGCCGTTACATTAAGGTATCCACATATAATGTGTCAGTCCAGCCTAGAGCCTTACACAGGTACACTCACCCACAAAAGTCCTATTGCCTCTTCTCCTGAACCACAAACCCCAAGATTCGGACTCATGGCCCTGAAGCACTAGACACTGATGCATTATTTTTTGTCAATAAATGCTTCGAATTCACGAGACTGAATCTTGGGGTTTGTGGCTCAGGAAAAAAGGCAAGTGGACTTTTATAGATGACCCCACACTCACCACCACACGATACTGTAGTTGTTTAATAAGAATCTTAATTATTTTATTTACATTATTCTAGTAATATATACTAAAAGGAATTTATACCTTTGTTAATATGCTGTCTGTGTGTTGTGGATTACTAGCCATAAGTATTATAGTTTCAAGTCCTGTAATCAAATATTGAATGGTATATGTTGATGCTGATCTGTTGAGAGGCGTTGATCTCTCAGTATATTGTTGTCATTATAGTGTGTGTGTGGAAGAGTACACACACACACACACACACACACACACACACATATGACTATTATGCACCTTATACATTATCATGTTCACTTATTAGGTATTTAATAAACAAATACCATTTGTGAAGGTGGTGGCCACAGCCTTGGTCAAACAATTGTTGATCATAATTATGTACATTTAGATGAACTTTTGATAGTACTGTACTGTACTGTACTGTACTGTACTGTACTGTACTGTACTGTACTGTACTGTACCCTGTAATGTTAATGTTTCTTAAGATAATTATGAAAAGTTAATATGATGATAAATGTAATGGAAAATTTTTATGTAATAGATAGAAGACGAAAAAGTGAACAGAATTCATGAATGATAATTTTTGGTGGTTAATGAACAGTACTGATTGGTATCATGAGAACCGACACAGCAGTCATTTACTATGCATGATAAAACTAATAATATGAAAAAAGTTAATAGTTCTCACTTTTATTAAACTACAGTATAGTACAGTGGGGTATGCTATAACGAACGGATCCTACTACGAATATTCCTATAACGAACGGTTTTACCTATAAAATTGAGAATGCTATAACGAACGAAACTCCTACAATGAACATAATTTAATTTTTTTTTTTTTTTCTAATTTATTGTTTTATTATAACAAATATTAATGATATTCTTTATTTCAGGGGTTTAGATGCATATTTATGCACTTTTTTACAATTTTTACAATTTTATATTATATTTTTCAGTGTTAAGTGGTTGTATTTGGGGGCCTGGAACGGATTAATCCTATAACAAACGAATGCTATAACGAACAAGGTTCTAGAACCAATTAGATTCGTTATAGCATACCCCACTGTACTGTATTTGATAATTATATACAAGAAAAGTTAACAGATATAGAACATTTAAAGAGATCTGGGAATATATTTTGTATTTATGGTTGTAATGATATACTGCACTCATGTATTCTCTACCACATACAGAACATGGTAGATGAATATTATATCAAATAAATAACTCTGTGCTCACTGTTCCTCAGATCAAAAGAGACAATCAAAATAGTAGAATATCTATCACTCATATTTTTCCAACATTATTTCTAAATGACTTTATCTGATGGCTAGTAATACTGTAGGGAAGAGTTGAGCAACACTTCAATACTTGTAATAATTGCTCTTAACAGTATTGAGTACATGAGAAGGCTCTTATGTTATGAGACCATTGCCCAATCTACATTATTCTCATGGTATTGTACAAGAGTCTTAGGTCTGTTGTGGGTGAATATGTCTGGCCTGTATATCCAGATGTTCTTTCACTTCTGGACAACAATTGGTGGGGTGAGTGGTGCTGCTACAAATTCTCAGGACTGTAATTGCACATGTCAGTTTGATCTGCCTGTGCTTATCCAGTTTGTTTCTAAAAGGTTAACAAATTTAGAGACTTAACACAAGTAAATGGTAGCACACAAGTATATATTCATTCTGGCGGTGAGGAGAGATAACACTCAAAAGTTTTATTGATAGTTTGTAAGTGTAATGTGTTTATCATGTTGACTCTTTGTACAGTTAATTTAGTGTTATGCAGTATCTTTATGTTGATCACTGACCATGTATAGTAGACAAGTGTTGAGGTTCTGCACCAACACTCAGTACTCTGTTAAATCACAATCTCCACTTGCTCACACACTATGGTAAATTATGGATTAATCCTAGAAATCTCGTTTTACAGTCAAGTCTGTATAAGAGACTCGGGTATTTTACACTTAAGTCTCCTGGTTGATGTCTCAGGCTGACTAATCAGACAATTAGTGAAACATCTCCATTAAAATCATCCTCCTTAAAAGAGGAAGACTTGGAAGTAATGGTTTTCATTTGATATTAAAAGTTGAGAAGTTATGGTATCACAAAAGTGCACAACCTTACCTTCTTTTGCTCATCTTCAGTCATAAAGCATATCGAGAACCTTACCTCATTCCTGCCAAGCTTCAAGATAAACTTCACTGGGATGATGGAAAAGTATCCAAGCCTTGGCCTGACTGTTGCTTATTTGTGAAAGCATATTTAAAGAGGGCCAACCCTGTGTTCTTCAATCATGCAGAGATTAACCAAAAGTTAGCTCCTTATCCTTCCCTTATTTGAATCAAAGCCAGAGGAAGACAAAGAGAAGTAAACCTACAAGAGGAGAGGAAATCCTTCTCAGACCAACTCCTGAACCCCATTAGGTTCTGGGAAGGGAATAGCATTTGAGGCAGAGCCCACACTCACAATGTCTTAATCAGGACTAACCCCAACAAAACATAATCTTACTCTACTGCTAAAAGAATACTTATGATGGAACATGGCATTTGCTCAACTTTCCTAATAATGCCGTTTTTTCTAAAAAACAGTTTTTGTGATATACTGTAGTCCCTATTTTTCTTGTTAAACAATCCAACTTAGGTTCATCTGACAAAACAATCTCCCTCAAGGGTTTTTCTTTTGCAAATCATAGGGAACCATGCAATAATCTCTAAGCAGTGAATATTATGTCAGCCTTGCAGCAATCCTCTAAAATAGGGTTCCTGTGACACTGTCTCACCCTCAAATTGGATGGTCTCACCTTACGGTCCAGACGCCCATGACTAAATGACCACATACTAACTATGTAATCAAGTTCTCTCCTTGACACAGTTGACCTCTGGCTGAGCTGTCAATTGTATTGATATCTCTAATGAAACAGTTCTTGGAACTGGAAATATGTAAAGGCTGGAATTTGCCCACTTTTCTTGTGAAGCAGGAAACAAGTGGTGTAACCATATTACTTCCCCAGATGTTTAAGTCAGTAAACAATGGAAGGTAATGTTGCTCAGGCTATTCAGGTGCCATTACTCATCACCTCCTTAACTCATATGGTGACCTTTGTTTCTAAATCTCCCTTTTTAAAGGGTCTTAATGGCAATTGGTGAATATTTTCAGTGTTTGCTCCCATTAACTAGATGGGTACACAGATACAAGTGTCTCCTTGTATTAGCGTAATATTGAATAAATAATTGAAAAGCATAGGGTCTGCCTGAATAACACTTGATTGTTAATTAAAAAGATAAAAGTATAAGTTTAAGAAAATACTAGAAAAGAGATTAAATAACAAAATATGGAACTAAAAAATGTGCAAAATATTGTGGGATGTCAGGCTGTGTACCAGAGTCCCAAGGAGTGGAAGAACCATCTGTCCTTGAGCAGTGTTTCTGAGGATGATTGACACAAGTCCATGAGTTTGTTATACTTATGATGTACTGAGGTGAAGTCCTATATTTCTCAGAAGGATTGACTTGTTTCATCATACTGTCTGGTTGTTATGTTGAAGAGTTATCCATTGTTTAATGTAACACATGTCTGGTGACTTTTGTGAGTGTTAATTATGGCATGGATGTGAAAGCCATTTATGTGGATTTATTTTATGTATTAGTCTGCTTTAAATAACCATTAATATAGCTTTTTTTAAATGCATGTGTGCAGATCTGCTTAACCCCTTCACTACGGGGATGCCACTTTTGATATATTATTTGGGTAATGCCAGGCAATTTTACTCAGCACAGAGGGGAAGCCATACACAAAGAGTTTGTAGACTCTCTCCACTAATCCCTTTACCACGGGAATATCACTGTTAATGTTTTATTTGGGTAATGGTAGGTAATGGTAGGTAATTTTATTCAGCACAGAAGGGAAACCATACACAAGGGTTTAGGCACTTATATACATTTATTTTATTAACTACATAATCTTGTTCTAATGTGCTTCTATACAATAAGAATTTTGTAGTTGTTATAACGTCACACCAGCTTCTCTGTAGGTTAATTTCCTCCACTGTAGCTAAAAAAAAATTATGCTTTAGAATACTCGGAAGTGTTTGAGAGGAAACTTAGAATGATGAGTGGTATGAATTGTATGTTTATGATGCATTGTTGGCCTGTTACCATACATCATCATGACAAATAAACTTAAACATTATATTTGATAATATTCATACTGAAGGTTTCCCCAAAGGTCTAATACGAAAATACAGGATAAAGTTAAGTATTCTGGACTGTGTATGATTTTTATTGGTGTAAATCCATCTTTGTTTCTGATGTGGTTGATGCATTTATTTGTCTAGTATATACAGTAAACTTTGATAAATCTACCAAACTAATTCTTGCAAGCCCTGTCCATTATTGGGAGGATTCTGTTATTGAGAATATCCACTATTGAGAAGTCTGTTATTGAGAGTGATTACTGTAATTGGAGATATACTTTTCATTTTTACATTTTCCATGTCTTTGAAAAGATAAAAGTTCATTTGTTTTGAATATATGACAGATATTTCGATAGCTAGAGTAGATTAAGTTTTTTGTACTATATCTTATGATAAATTATGGTACCTTTATTGTATTACTGTCAACCTAGATTCACCTGTGCCTTTGGTAAGTAGAGGCCCTTGAAGATGTGAAATACACAAAAGCGCTCGAGAACTTCGTGTTATCTTTTTTCCTATGCGGAAATCAGCATATTAATATAGTACAGTATAAACATAGTGATGGAATATGGCCTCACTTATAATTACCCCACTATCATTTATCACTATAATTTGTTTCTAATGTTTCAGAAAATTTGTAAGATGACTCCAAGGTTTACCATCGGTGACTGTGCGGGCGGGCACCGAGCGGACAACCGAGTCAAGAATCGTAACGTTCTCTGTGTTCCTCGTCAGTATTGCCCGTTGATTCTGTTCTCCTCAACCTGCCACAGCATAGCTTTTGCATTTCCCATCTATACAGCCCCTGATAATTATAATCTTGTCTATTATGTCTTTTGATATATTGTGTTATGTTGCCTTGTAATTGTATTTCCCTTAATTGGTGTTCACTGTTGCATGTGTTACAGTGTACCTTTAGAACATATTCTTTGTCTCAGTATGTCCAGAATTTTTGGTTCAGGTGACCTATTAACCCACAAATGATCTGTCGTCTTTCCTCCTGAACCACAAACCCCCGAGAATCAGATTCGTGAACCCGAAGCAATAGACACAGACGCATTACTCTGTCCATAGATGCTTTGGATTCATGAGTCTGAATCTCGGGGTTCGTGAAGGAGAGGCGACAGGACTTTTGTGGGTGATTGTACTTCATACCTTTTGGTTCATTGTGTTATTTTTATTTATCTGCATCTCATTGTTTGTCATGTACACTACTTACTGCCCTTTGCTTTTAATCCTTTCCTGCTGATTGTTGCACTTTAATATTTTTTCTAGCTACTGCCTGAACGTTTTAAAGGGAAACCTGGAGCCAAGGGGTTAAAATCTCTCTCGAATGACCCTTAACGCCAATTGTCACACTGTAATTTTATTCTGGGTCTACTGTCAGATGATTTTATTCAGCTTATGGGAACCTTTGGGAGCCAAAGGGTTAAGTAGTTAAAACTATCCCCCATCCCCGGAATTTTTCGGGTATCTGGAAAACTTTCTCGTAATTTTCCGGAAAATGTGCCCCTCAGATAATCGTTCCCAAAGCCGGAATTTTCCGGAAAATTCCGGCTTTGGGAACGATTTTTCGAGAAAATTTCAATTCTGGCTATCGGAGAGTTCCGGGTTTGAGGGATTCCGGCTAACGGAGATATTTGCTGTTAAAATTTTCATATAGTACTTATTGGACTTTCTCATATATATTTGTAAATCAGTTCTATATACTGTACAGAACTGTAAATAAACTTTCATTACTACAGAATTTTAGAACATAAAATACTGTATGTATAGTTATTTGTGACTGATAACTTAATTTCTCTTCTCCTTCAGCTGACAACTTCAGACCGTACATCACATCATTCCAAGGCAACAGCAACACCGATTACATTAACGCAGTTTGTGTTGATGTGAGTATATATAAAAAACATCTACTAATGTCATATGCTCAATATTTATTTCAATATCATAGTTGATTTACTGAAACTTTTTTTTTTATTACGGTAATGAAATAGTTTATAGTTTGTATCTGATCATAATAATAGATAACATTGCCATATCAAAAGACCGTGTCAATGTCTTACAGATATATCATGTAATGTAATAAGCTTATGAACCCTTTTGTGTACATAAGATTTACTACCTAATGTTTGGATACTTTACTTCTTTTTTGTACCATAAGGTGTCTGCTTGACTGTTAGTGTTTTGAGATATCCACAGAGCCAAACTTTGCAACACGACCCTAAACCTAAATTAAAGAACCCTTATTTGTTTCTCCCCTTCCCTGACCTTAGTGATCCAGTGCATGTTATTTTGTTACTTTAGATTCATAGATTTTTTAAACCTGGAATGGGGATTGTTTTTGTCCTTGATTGTTTTTTAAAAATATTTTCATTAATTTTTATGGAAAGATATTTGTTTGGTATTTTGAACCATATCCCTACTATCCTTTACACACACTTGAGGATCTGAGGTTAAGAGAGAGAGAGAGAGAGCAAAGTTACGTAGTGTATTTAACCCCGAGTTTTAGAACGTCAAATATGGAAAGTCTTTTAAAAGTATTTTGTTAGCCAGCACTCAATCTCCTGACCCTCTTACCTTATTTTTGCCACTGCCTTTTTCCGTCTGTGTTTTGTGGCGGCTCCAAAGGGGTACTTGAGGCCCCGGGAATACATAGTGTCCGAGTGGCCCCTGAAGTCGACCACCTCCGACTTTTGGTCCCTTGTGTACGACCATGAGGTGACTTCCGTCGTAGTCCTGTGCAACCCCTCACCCTTGGAGGCCTCGGTAAGATGCCTAAAAAAAGCCAATACACTTAAATCTCAATCTTAAGTCTCACTGTAAAATCTTATGGGAAGTGCTTTGATGCTGTTCATTAAATAAAACAAATACAGTGCCTTTTTTAAGAACTAAATCTGTATAGAGGAAGAGAAGAATATACTGTAGGCTGGGTATATATGGTACTGTATGTATAAGTTTCACCATCAAAGCACTTTCTTTACTTTAAATTATTTATAAAGCAACAGCAGAACAAAGGGGTAATCTATTTTATATTTAGTACAGTACAGACATATATTTTATTGCTGTATTACATGTACATTACTGTATTGAAGTACATTGTATTATATTAATAATAACTTTGTGTAGGTATATAATTTCATATCCTTAAAATTTTAGTAATATATGAATGGATCACCACACCTGCTGCTTGCTTTAACTAAACCACCTCTAAACTTGCCTGGATTTAGGCCCCACTTCCGTGTCATCACCGAGACCCACCCACCTCCCCCACCTTCTGTGTAGCTAGAGTGTTTACAGTTTGTTGTCATTGTGTATTTCAAACCTTTATGAAAATACTTCTTAAAGGTTTATAAGATACACTTCACCAGTCTTTAATGATTTTGTTTAGTGTTAAAATTGTCAATGGAAATGCACACTTATGATACAGTATGTTGTAGTCTTATCAACAGAGAAGTAAGCATTCTAGCTCTCTACTGCCACTACTCTTCCTTCTGAGAACCCCCTGCCTCCACATACAAGGAGTTTGGTCCCATCTTTTCAGGGCTACACCCACCCGCGGGAGTACATAGTGACGGAGTGGCCGACGTCTCAGACCCTGGGAGATCTTTGGTCACTGGTTTTTGACCACGATTGTTCTGCGGTGGTGGTCCTTTGTAACCCCACCAACACTGTGGTATGGACACTCACTATTGACTCATACTGCAATGAGGGAATTCTTAAGAAATAATTAACTCATTGACATGTTACCTGGAGAAATAACTTTTAATCTTTTGGTATATACTGTATGTGAAGTGAAGTAATTTTTGTGTAATTAATACTTATTAATACTTGTATTGTATTATTGTTGCTGTTATTTCTCCTGTTGCTGCCAATGGGGTGTTTGTCTCTACTTATTACCATTGAATGAGTTTTTTTTATTACTCATTAATAAAACCTTCAGCAAAGTGTTACAAAGTACAGATACAATACCTCCTGTCCCTTTCATTATTTATTTATGTATACAGTATTCAAATAACATAGTTTATTTTGGAAAAGTGGAGAAAATTTCATAATATAAAGACAACTGAATTTTCAACACTTTATATTCCAGTTCCCTATGAACCCACCTACTGAACACTCATTCTTGCTGATGGAAGTTTACAGTGATATACAAAACATCTGCATCCAGGAAGTTTATGCAACATTTGTATCTTTTAATCTATTTTTTTGTGTGCCATCTTATCTGACAGAGAGTTAAGATATGCTGAGCCTTTGTGTTGATGGGATATAAACAAAGGCACGTCACAGTACGAGATGTTATGACTGTTGCTGTATATAAGATGATGCTAGTAATATGATACTTTATTGTATATTTCTTCCCAAGGCAAAATACAGAGATGAGTGTATCAGTTGAAATTTACTGTAGAGTTTCAGTATGTCTCCCCCTGAAAGAAGAGAGACATTCTGTTTTTCATTTTTTAACATATTTCCTTTCAATCCTCAATTTTTTTCTGAATCAGTAGAAATCACAAATGTTTTGCGATAGTCCAACATTCATTTGCTCTTTCCAATACAGGTTTTCTTTAGAAGCATGTACTGTACTGTACTGTACTGTACTGTACTGTACTATACTGTACTGTACTATACTATACTATACTAGAAAACCCCCCTACTGGTTTTTATTGGGTTACTGAGTACTTCTGTGCAGCTGAGGGAACATACCGTAGGCTGTAACTAAAACACATTGTATCACGAGGAACTTTGAAAACAAGAAAATGTTTGGTGTAGTAAATAAAACTATTGTTATTAATCTGATTTAAAATTACTTGAAGGTTGTTTTTATCTTGATCCTCTTGTAAAATTATTTAGCTGCACTGAAGTTCAACAGTACATCCATTAAGAAGAATTAAAATAAAAAACACTATTCATCACTAGTCTCTTTCCAGTGTGAGATCTGGAGCAGTGAGACAACTCCCGCCTTGCATCACCATTCCTCTGTTTCCCTAATAAATTAATCATATAATCAACAAATTCAAAATTATGTTTATTGGTTAATTTAAATATGCAATTATTATGGTACTATGAATTCAAAGATTTATAATTGAATTCAGGTATTAAAGTTAATTTATGTAAGTCTTGTGGTTAAATTTAGAGCTTTTTCCTGTCTTGGTGATCTCAGTGTGACATATATTAAGAAATTTTGAATTGTTGATGTTGTTTCGACAATTTTTTTTTATAGAATTGTGCTTGCCTTTTTAGACATCAAGTGTCCCGTAGATTCTTCATTCCAAGACATGAGAATTCCCTTTTGTTACACCCAACATGTCTTGCAGGATGACTAAACACAGTGGAAACCTTACGTCAAGTTGGGTCAAAAGATATCTATGAGCTCCGTTTACCTATGGTTGAAATGTGACTGACCGGCTGTAAATGTTTTGTTACAGGAAGGTATAAAGTACGAATGACTGGCCTTATTCATATCCAAAAGTGGTCATACATCTTTCAGTCAAGTCTTGATTTTTTTCTCGAAATGGATACTTTTTTTTTTAGTTAGGATAAGGAGCTTGTTCATATGCCATAAGTCATGACTGGTGTCTGCCCATCTTCCTACAGTCAGTTGTTAATTATTATAGACCTTCTATTATTTTAACATCTTAGATATTTATATACCATTTTTCTAATTGAAGATTGTGGTTCTTAATGATTTATATGCATGTACAGTTTAGTGAAATGGATATATTTGCGGATACTATACTGTGAGAAGTCTATCACAGTACAGCATGCATGGAAAGAGGTGTGTGGGTTTGAGGAGAAGGACATTACTGTATAGGACAAGTAAAGGAATATATGGATGTGGAAAGAGAGGGGTTTGTTGGGGGAGGAAGATGCACTATTCTGAATGGCAAGTGTTAAACCTGATCTGAAATTTGTGGAATACTTATTGTCTTATTGTGATTATGGAAGGCATTTACAGCATTTTGTGGCTAATATGGGAAGTGATCAGTAAAGAGAAGCTGTCATGCTCGAGTAGAAGATTACCCACGACTTCCATATTTGTGATATACATTTTTGTTTGTGGGTTCATCACATCTACGAGACAAAATGTACAGTCGCCTGCACTTATACAATGGCTGGTATGTTTCATGAGATGTGGCAACTATGTGTTTGTGTACATCATATTAAAACTCCCTGAATGACCTCAAGGAACCTCACAAAAGTAGTCAGACTAAGGATGCTACATAAGCATTCCACAGAATTGCCACATCTCACAAAATGAACCAGCTACTGTACAAGGTATAAGTGCAGGCGACTGTACCTAGCCTACCATGGCATACATGTAAACTGTTCTTAAAAGATTATCTTGAGCTACAAAAATATGCTCCTTGGTATTGTTAGCAGCTACGTGTGGCTCACGAACACTTGAATTCTTTCACACAGTAAAATTAGCTGAAGTATGATCAGGTTTACTATACATTTTACTCACATGATTAAAAGGTGTAAGTTTCCTTAAAAAAATTTTGTTAGAACATTTTAGAAAGTATGGTAATATTTTTGTATTGAATTTCTCTCATTCTCTCTTCCTGTCCCTGAACAGCACTATCCCCCGTTTTGGCCAGACAAACAGAAATCAATGAAATATGGACCCGTTTTTACCATTGACCACACAAGTCACCAACATTACCAAAATATTCGCTCCTGGGTGTTCAAAATCAGCAAGAAGGTAAAGTAATTTGTTAACATCTGGTGACTGGGTGTTGACCTGTTTTGTGTTGTGGTATGTTGTTCATTTGTGGTAGTCAATATTTTAATGTCCAGAGATGATTTTTTGCAGCTGACGTACTAACCTGTTTACTGGTAAGTGTTTGTGTGTGTACAGTAATCCATCTCTTAAGACTATTGTGTTGGCTGTGACATTCACATAATAATGTTCTTACTGTATTTGCCTGATACCTGTCCTGCATTGTAATGGCTTTGATAAGTACTTCGTTTTGCTGGCACAATTATCACAAGATGGGAGAAAACTTTTTGCCTTTAACTAAATTACCAGTTACTAAAAGTAGTGAGGAAAGATGTGAGTGGAGGTCCCACCCCACTTGGAGCTACAACTTGGCTTCAACACCTCACACAGCTGCAACATTGATCCCGTTCATGTCTCTAAGCTGTGCAGTAATCTTAAAAAAAATGTGCTATAGAAATTTGACCTTAAAGAGAATGTAACATAGAGAGGTTCTGTTTGTTATGTATATAGTAGTACTCTATATATGTATTGTTTGTGCTGTTTAATAACTTAAATGTTAAAAAAAATGGCAGTATTGTTAAGATATCTTACTGCTTATATACAGTACACACTTTAGTTGCTTAATGGTATTGTGGAAAGTAATTAGAAATGATGGGATTTGCTCAGTTTTACTTATTATCAACAAATAGTATTTATTTATTTATTTATTTATTTATTTATTTATTTATTTATTTATCTATCATTTCACCTCCTATCAGCTTAGTATCCATCCAGGCAGTTGGTCTGTATGCTACTTTGGTATGAACTTTATTGTCCAGTGTTGGTACAGTACCCAGAGGAAACCTGTCATGTTTGGTAGTCACACTATATAACATAACTTTTCTCATACAGTATTTGTAAATTAATGTATTTAGATGCTTTATACATTCTAAAATAACACAAAAATCACCCCAAAATTACATTAAAAAATCACAGGTGCTGAGTAATTAGCATTGCAAAATTATGGGTACAGTACAATAATTAAATTTTTGCTAAGAGTCATTAGGACGAGTAATTACAGTACTCTACGTATATAAGTAGATGGATAAATTTTAATATTGTCATTTTGTGTGTCTTTATGTGCAGATACTGTACTGTCAAACTTATGTGTTCATGTGTTAAATAACAAATACATACAAGTGATATCTCTGTTAGCCGGAACAATTGGTGCAGAGCACTTCCGGGAATGAGGGATTTCCAAGTACGTAACAAGATGACTCTCTCAAAACCAGAAAAAAGTCCCTCATCCCCGGAATTTTCCGGGTAATGGAAAAATATTCTCGGAAGTTACAGTAGTTGCGCATTATATCATCTTTCGAAGCCGGAAAATATCCCCAACCCTGGAATTTTCCGGAATTTTCCATGCACTGGGAAAATTTTTGCGGAATTTTCCGGAAAATGTGCCCCTAGAAAAATTGTTCCCAAAGCCAGAATTTTCCTGAAAATTCCGGCTTTGGAAACGATTGTCCGAGAAAATTTAAATTCCGGTTATCAGAGAGTTCCGGGTTTGGGGAATTCCGGCTAACGGAGATATTATGTGTTTGTCTTTTGTTGTCAGTACATACTCGTATACACAGATAACTACATGGGATATATCTTACCATGAATCACCTCTCAACAGAAGTAAAGGGTGTAGTGACCATACATTAATGTTGTTGTTCTATAGTGTGCCAAATTTTTTAAGTCAATCACAAGTGCTCATAAAAACTCCAAGTGATTCATAGATACTGCACTTTACTTCTGATGAACAGTGGCAATGGTTCTAAAGTACAGTTCAGTATAATGAAGAGCCTTTAAGCTTACCCACAACAAGTAGAAAGTCAGTAACAAGCAATAACAGGAGGATTTCCTTCAAGTCATGTTTGTACTAATACTTTTTTTTATAAGTGTTTTGTGTGGTCCACTGGCATGTTAGTCTATCTCTGTGTTGTGTTTTGATGTGTCATCAGATTATTTTCCCTCAACGCACGAGGCTGGCGACTGTTGTGGATGAAGTCCAGGGAAAGAATGTAAGTACAGTATAGTTTAATTGTTGTTGTTTTAGCTGATATATTTCAGTTAATTACCTATAAATATCTACTTCTTGTGGGATGTACATTATCTTGACTGTTCCTGTCCACAGGAGAAAGAGCGGAGTCTTCCTTACTCCACACCAGGATCTCAGTCTTATTCTCTCTTTTCTTTCTCCATTTATCTAACTTATCTTTATATTACATTACATCTTCAGTGCTTGACTTGGGATGTTGTTCATTCTGGTCTGCACTTCAGAAGGAAGATGCAACTACAATACAGTATACACATAACCTAACATACTGTAAGTGTCATAACAGCGAGACACTTAACCATGGAGATCTGTGCTGTAAATAAGGTTACAGTAACTTACAAGATCCTGTTCATGCTACTCCTCCGTCACCCTAGACCACACATCGTTTTCTGTGGCACTAAACATTACTGTGTGATAAATATTTCTGACCCCAATCTCATTTTAATAAATCTCACATCTGCTGTGTGTGTTGATATAATTTAGCAGTTGGTCATCAGCCTTAGAGTCAATATGTACCCTTACCTCAGCCTCCGTCTTGAATAAGATTATACATAACTCATTTCAGTAGAATCTCATATCTGCTACAGTGTATGTGTTGATGTCCTTTAGGAGTAAGTCACCAAACTTACCTGAGCCTCTAACTTGATATCAGATTTAGATCATGACAGATCACTTATATGTACAATTACTTTGAATTTACTTAATAAGGGATGATTATTTATCATTTGTTCCAAGGAATAGATGAGCATCTTTTCCTTGAACTCCTCTTTGATTTCTTTTTTAATCTACTGCATATTTATCATAATTCTGCTGCAGAGCCAAGTACAGTACGTACAGTATATACAGTACTACTCTCCCCACATCATTTAACTTGGGGTAATTTTTTGTGCCACAGAGGTACTGTACATGTCATCAGCCTCAAGCTAAATTATATTTGTTGCTCAGCCTAGAATTTCTTTCAATTTCATTTTAAGGGCAGTGGGCAGACTGAATATTTGCTATGTAAATATATTGACTATACAGTTTGGTGTACTACTGTACTTGTAATAGCACGTTATGTTTCGAAAGTAAAGTAATAGTAGTTAGCGATACCTTGGTTTGTTTATAAAGAATACAGTATTTATTGTACTTAAGTTCTTCATCTTTAATGGTTACCCAACTTAATAATTAAGGCAACTTGTTTAAGGTGACATGACCTTCATTTCTCTACAGTAATTTAAAAGTAAAGTTGAGTAAAAGTAACATAAAAATATGATTAGTTTTTAATTAACTTAGTTTGTAGCCCTTCCTTATGCGGTAGTGTGTGTTGTTAATCTGCTATTGTAGACACAGTTCGTGAACTTATATCATAATATCCCCACAGATTGTATCCCTCACGGAGCTGATGGCAGGCATCAAGGCAGAACCCAAGACATGCCACTTGTTCCAGCTCATGTGTTGGCCTCAGGGACACAAGGTACCCACCTCCACTAATGCCCTTGTTGAGCTCATGAATATGGTGGAACGGTGGAGGCAGCGGACTGGCTATGGACCTGTGGTGGTGGTCAGCCCGTGAGTCAAGTTTCACTTGTTTAGAGGTGTTTTATGTCACTTCTTAAGTTGTTTACTTTAATGTTTCACATGCTGTAGGTAGATGTACTTCATAAGCTATGTTTATTTTGGAAGATCTTCATGTAGCTTCATAAATGTAATACAGCATTGTATCTATTTAGTTGTTTCTTATCTTTACAAGTGCCTAATGGGATTTATGCTTAGTCATGTGCAGTTTACAAATCACTCACTGAGGATGATAAATATGTCTGCCCCATTATAAAATTTAGAAGATGTTTAATTTTAAACTGTTGTTTATTTAAGTGTCTTGAAGAGCCTAAGACTGTGACCACTGGTTATGCTGTTGTGTGATCTTAATATTGAGCACTTGTTATTACATGTTTCATGTATGATCTTGAATATCCTGATCATATTCCCATGGTTTCTTAATAAACCAATGATGGGAACTTTACCTTTCTTAGTTGGTCTTCACATCTCATGGTCATTAGCCTGGTCACCAGTCTTGTTGTCCTTTTCTCAACACTTTGATGTCCTTCATCTTATTTGGATGTCTTATTGTTTCTGCATACTATACGTGACGTCAGACCACGCTCATGTATGATCATAATGTATATCGTGGTGCAGTACTTCTTACAGCATACGTATATTTCCAGTACAATAATTAATTACAAAATATAATGGGAGGGATTTTATTTTTGAAAAGCTAAAAACAAAACAATAATAACTTTTAAAAAAACATGTACGTACAGGAAAAAAAAGTCTTTGGATAATCTGAATTGCTCCTTCAAGTTAGTACAGGCTAAAGTAATGTTTGTACTGTATGTGTTTTGTTATAGGCATTTTATGTACCCCATGATGTACTTGTAAATATTATATAATATGTAAGAATATTTTGAATATTTATAGTGAAAGTCCTTCTTTTCTGTTTATCTGCTTTTCAGCGTAAGAACAATGTCTGGGATATTTTATTACTTTTGTAAGTTTCTCAGACATACTGTTACATTTTATATGTGGAATGCTACTTTGTCAACCCCTTCAGCTTATTGACTTTGATGTCAATGAAAAGCATTTCAATTTTTCATTGTATGATTAAAGCAATTTTTTTTCCTCTCTCTCTCGCTCTAGTGATGGCATGAGTCGTGCTGGGGTGTACTGTGCTGCCAATGCCTGCATCGAACAAGTGATTCAACACGGTGAGGTAGATGTCTTCCAGGCTGTCCATACTGTCAGACGACATCGTCCTCAGCTCACCAATAATATGGTGTGTCTTGTGTGTTAACCTTAATTAGTTATTACTAGAAATGCTCTACTGTATATTAATATTATATGGCAAAATGCAAATTCACTTTGTCTACTTTTTTTAGATATAAAGTGAGGTTAGTAAATACATGACACACTTGAATGTAATAATAAATAGGTCTTGAAAAAGGAAATCAGATTACAGTATTTACAGCTGTACTTGGCTACAGTCTCAGGAGTTTTACTGATGTTTGGTGTTTCATTAATGGCCACTGTCCTCTTTTATATAGAAACAGACACATAACTGTGCTTTGCATTACTCTTTATTAAGTGTCAAGTAATGATAAACTACTTTCTGACTTCAATATTAACAGATATGAAATTTGATAATCAAACTATTCAGTAAAATCGGTCAAGTCCTCACACTATGTTTGGCTCAGCGTCACTTGAGGCAACTGTTTCTTGATCATCTCAGTTTATGGTTTGTAGTTGTTTCATGGCCACCCAGAATCCAAAAGGACCTGTCAAGGTTTATGCAGACATACTGAACAGGAATTAACTAAGATTTCTGTTGACACTTGTCAATAAATAATACTGTGTGAAGAGCAGCGGTCTGTGTACAGTATGTCAGTGTTTACAAGAGAATGTTGGACATTGATGAATTATTATTATTTTCATCATCATAGTTTTACAGCTGGATGGCCTTCCTATTGCCAATTCACTTTTACATTAGAATAGTGATATCCCTGTTAGCTGGAACAATTGGTGCAGAGCACTTTCGGGAATGAGAGATTTTCGGCTAATGAGACGACTCTCTCAAAGCCGGAAATAATCCCTCATCCCCGGAATTTTCCTGAGTTGTCCGGGCAACGGAAAAATGTTCTCAGAAGTTCCAGAAATTGCCAATTACATCATCTCTCGAATCCAGAAATATATCCCTCATCCCCGGAATTTAGCGGGTGAAGGAAAATTTTTCTTGGAGTTTCCAGAAATTGCGCCTGATTTTCGTCTCTCAAACCCGGAAAAAACTCCTCCTTCCCCGGAATTTTCCAGGTATTGGGAAAATTTTCTTGGAATTTTCCGGAAAACGTTCCCCTCGGAAAATCGTTCCCAGAGCTGGAGTTTTCCGGAAAATTCCGGCTTTGGGAACAATTTTTCTAGAAAATTCCAATTCTGGCTCTCAGAGAGTTCCGGGTTTGAGGGATTCCGGCTAACGGAGATATTACTGCACTGTATACTGTATAGTAAATTTCCTGGGATTTTGAAGTCAAGTATGACATGAAAATAAGTACTGTCTCATTTGCTTTCACAAGGTCCATGTACAGTCAGCCAAAGATCCACGGACCCCACCCTATGTAAGTCTCGTACTGGCAATTTTACCTGGCAATAAAAAAGTCAGTCATAAAAATGTCATATACTTCTGAGTACAAGAACAAATAATTTAAGTAACTAATGATGTACAGGTGTCCACAGAAACATAAACAAGCACTGCCATGTGATCAGCTGACACCACCAGCAGACAGTGTTAACTGGGACAGTCACCGCACAAGATCTCTCCATTTTGAACACCAGAAAACCTTCGTGGCCATTTTCAACACCATCGCCAGATTGCAACATATTTAAACCCACGCAGTGCAGTACTGTACTGTTTATAATTACACCAAAGATTTACTTGCATATCTTAAATGACTCTATTCTGTTTTCTCTCCCACACAGACGGAGTACAAGTATTGCTATGACCTCGTTCTTCATTATGTTCTTCACTTCCTGTCAAAGGAGGTAAAAAAATGAACATTTGAACATCAAGAGTGGATTGAAATCCTTTTAGGACCTACAACCCCTCCCTGAACCCTTGATGACAAACAGAACTAATTGTGACAAGTGTTTCAAACTAATACAGACACATGTTCTGAAACTAATGTGAAGAATTCCATTATCCCCAACTGTGACTGATAACATAATCCCTATGAAACATATTGATGAAGAGATTCATAGTATTATATATGGCATAATTCTTTACAGGGTGAGGAAGAATATGAAGACTTAAAAGAAATTGAAAGCTTGAATCAGCAATGAAAGATAATTTTGAAGGCAATGAGTCAAGATATGGCATTAGGCTTGTCAGAAGAAAATGGAAATCTTGTTTTATGACCTGTGTACTGTACTGTATATGAAGCAGTGCTCTGACACAGCATTGCCATGTTTATCTGTTGTTGTTAATATTGTGCTTTTGTTATCTGGCTCTTGACACTTGGTTTGAAAGGGAGACTATATGAGTCTTTTCATTTTTTTATTTTTTTGTTTTTTTCGTACAAAATTTTTTAAAAGGATGGGAATATTGTAAGCTCAAGAAAGGATCACTAGATGAGGAAGATGAAAACAAAACTTGAATAACATTAATACTATAACATTGATAAGTAATATATGATCAGTTTAAGAATAAGGGCCATACTGTAGCTTATTACAAATAAGTGTACAGTATGTACATTCTGTGCTAACATGCATTACTGTGGCTCTTCAGTACTGTACAGTACATGGAATTTGGTGATCATTTTGCAGAGTGCATTTTCATAGTACAATTAGTACTATAAACAAAATAACAATTTTGAAGATACTTTTAAAACATTAAGATGTTTTTAGAGGTAAGGTATGGACACCTTTCCACCTAGCACTCACTGGTATGGTACTCACACGACATTTATTACTATAAGATTACAGGGTACTTACTATTACATAGATATCTTCTGAGTCTTGGAGAAGTGTGTTTCTTGAGATACACGGGACTGAGTCTTATGTTAGGTTTGTAGACATTGGCACTTAATTATTTATTTATTTTTGTTAAAAGATAGGTTGCCTCAAATTTGACAGTGCTAATAATTTACAAGTTATTTATAGATATGCAAGCTGTTTTTTCTATGAACTCTGGAAAACTATAAGGTTTAGAATCAAGTGTGTTGGTTAAGAGTGTGGTAGAGGTTGGTGTATTCCATTCTTGTTTTGTGCTGTTATGAAACACCCAGGTGGTGGACTTCTTACTGTGGATATAGAACATAATGGAGGAAGACTTCTTATGCATGTAAGTTAAGTGTACCCCTTCATACACAGGCTCATGAACATATATTTTATCTTTTAGTGTACTACTGTAGTACAATGATATTAGTACATGTAATTGCTGTATGTACATCTTTATATGAAAACTTATTAAGATTTTATAGTTTTATGATGCTTCTTGTTGTGTAAAGGAGAGAATAATTTGTGAATATGTATATAGTGAGTATTCAAACTTGGTTACTTATGCACTAGACACCAATAATGTACTTCACTGTTACTGAATTAGCTGCCGAGTATAGACTAAATATCCATATAGGGTGAAGCACTTGCCCAGAAATGTAGTTAATGAGTTATAGCACAGTAATCTTTACCACAGGGTAGTGTCATGTAAGAAATGTTAAGTTTTCAAGCCAACCGCATGAACCATGTCAAGGGCTGCTCATGTTGCATGTTGTATATTTGTATATAATTGATTTTGCCAGGCTGTTTATCAGTAAGGTGAGCTGGTGGTTATTATTAATGATAAGACGGTTCCCTTATTTGACACACTCAGCCAATACAAGCATTCCTTTCCCCATGTCTTCCATACCTGTTAGCTGCATCTACACCCAATGGTTTTTACCATATATCGAACATTGGATCTTGCACCCAAGTTAGCCAGACAAAAGTTTTGCTCAAAGATTTCCAGACATGTTAATTTGCCTTCAAGCAATTTTGTATAGGGAGGATATCGTTTTTTCAACTTAAAATGTTCGACCATTATCTTTGTCAGTTTTGGCAATACTGTGTGTATGTGTCTCTCTCTCTATATATATACAGTATATCATTCAACTAAGCCTCTTCCTGCTGTGGTGCACGGTGGCCAGTACAAGCTGATCTGATGCTTGGCATTTAGCAGCTAATGGGTTGCCCCTCCCCTTTGGCAGGATGCTAGTCCACCAAAGGGTTGTTCCACCAATAGCAAGCTGTTGGTGTACTCATTTATGCTGTGGGCACAAGAACTAGTGTACAATACAAGGAAAAATCCCAATCCTCCACAATGGTCGGGAATTGAACCCATCACCATTTGCTCTTGAAGCATATACTGCATTACCAACTAAGCTATGGTGCCGTAGGAGATTCAGGAATAACTTGTTATTTTAGATATACAGTACAGGTATGGGACCATTTATCTGGCATAGTTGGGACCTGTTTTTTTCAGAATTTAGAGTGCCAGGCCTAAAATGTGATAAAAATGTACAGTAAAACCTCTGTGAAGACTCTGTTCAGATCATTAGATAAAGTAGCTTTAACTGTACACTGTAACATTAGAACTTAAAATTTTAGGGAAATAAACATCAATAACAAAAACAAATAAATAGTTCAATAATAATGAATGCATAAAAAATGCAAAATTGGTACAAGTTAATGCGCAGTGCGTACTACAAATTGCGTCGTCGTTGCTCCTGATACTTGCCTTAGCAACGGTGCTCACGCGTGGACCCTCGGACTTCTACGCACTCACCAACCATAGATAGGTAAATCTTTATACCTTAGGACAGTTATTTTTTTCTAAAAACCAGTTTTTGTAATATACAGTACATAGTCCAGAATGAGACGTCTAGCTTTATACCTAGGTATGTAAATGCCTAGCATTAACTCACCAGGCCAACATACAGGCAATTAAAACATCTAATAATTACTTAAATACAGTACATAATATTAGGACACGTCGCAACCTGTCATTTAATTGCAATTCTCAAAACCTCCTCCCGCACCCTCCATCACACGCATTGCTCCCGCCATCTTCTGTAAACAAAAATAACCATAACGTAACATACAGATAGCTCACAGGTGGGAAATGGTTGGAAATATCCCCGCTCGGCCCGGAATTATTTTTGACGTTCATTTTAAATAATGTTTCAGAACATTGCCGGTTTTGGGAGCATTCCAGAAACTGGGCCACCGGATAAGTGGTCCTATACCTGTATTTTTATTTCTAAGTTGAATGTACTCTTGTGCCACAGCCAAATTAATTTACCATTATATTTTAAAAATATTTGTTGCCATTTTCATATGTGGTACAGTATTTTGAACTTTACATTACTAAACAGCAAAAGGTAGTCTATATGTGACCTCATCTTTAACCCCATAAAAAGCACTGCATTTCCACTGGTGAGAATATAAGGTCATGGAGTGTTTTCCAAAACCATTACATTTGTTCTTTGCTCTTGAGAAGAAAGTACAGTATTAATATCTGTTGCAGTTAACCCATCTTCCATAACTCTCACCATCTAGTACATATCACATATTCCTTATGATTTGTGTCCCACTGTACAGTAATTCTGATGAGCTGTTCGAGGTTACAGGTTTCCTGATTACTGTACTGGTACTTTGAGTTCCTGGAAGTACTGTATTTTGTACTTCCTTCTGCCTTGTATCTATTTTACAGGTTGGTATTCAATACTATAGTGTTTAGTGTTTATTTTAAGAAGTAATGATGAACTACTGCAAGGGAATGTAAGGTGTGTCAGCTCATAAGAGATTATACACAGTGGGACCTCATCTGGTTCTGTATTTGAGACAGATAACAAGGGATACACAGGGGAAACTAGGGTTATACATGCCATAGTTTACCTTCCTGGCAGAGAAATATTGATTTTTCCATTTAAGTAGAAGCTGACATACAGTGACAGTGTTACAAACGTTACTTTTTTCCGTGATTAAAAAGTATTCTGCAAATACAATGACTATGTAATGTAGACTGAACCCAACAGTATACCTCTACTTTACAGGTGTTATGAAATTACTTAAGAATTTGCTGAACAATTGATAGTTTTGTATTTTTTTTGTATATTGGACTTTCTAGGCACTGACACTGCTTAAGAAAAAGGTGCGGCAAATTACATTTTTATCTATACCATCGAAGCAAACCGTGTGAGCAGGACTGTGAAGAGTAGCGAATACATTAACCAATAATGCACCATTTCTGAAGTTACATCATTCATTAATATCTCATCCTCATTTGAAATTTATCAAATAGCATGGATCTTTCACGTTGTTATTTTGTTCTACAGGCGGTGCTGTTTTTGTACTGATAGACTCTGACACTCAGGTAGATTTTGATTGTATGACAAGATGCATTGATCTTGTTGGTGACAGATTGATCCTCTTAGAAGTAAAGTTAGTGTGAAAATAACAAAAAACAATTACTGTATACATAATTATGACAATTGTTCTGCTTATTAATGTAAAAGACCCACCCAAAACAACTTACAACTGCTAAGATTTGTAATTACATGTAGCAGTTCACATTGCCCCCCCCTTCCCTCATCTACCAGTTTCCCTCCTGCCCAAGTTATGTTAGACGCTAGGCAAGTTCCCTCTTCATATTGTTGCAAAGAAATTTACCTTGGCTTTCATCTTCATATCACTGTTTGTATCATAAATTTGCAGGATAATACTTTAGTTTTCATTTGGAGTTCACATATTTTTGTGCATTTTGTATTTAGTTATTTTTTCTGCAAGAAGATATAAATCCACACAAGAATCAACGGGGCACCATCAGGTTCTCTCGTAGAATGCACTTACACACCACTAAATTTCAGAATTATATACCCAGGGGAAACAGATGCCTGGTAAACTTTCCTTCATCCAGATACTTGCTAGTTTATAAACAACATGGACAGTTTTAAGGACCCCCTTTTAATAATAAAATAATTGTAAAATAAACTGTGAAAATTGGTACAAGATCAACAATTATTTCCTTTAATAAAGAGTTTGTTTTTGGTACACAAATACTTTTTGAAAATTGAGATTAAGGAAAAGATAAACAAAAGGTAAATAAGGTTGATCTGATTCTCTTATTGATAGTTACTGATGAATGGATGTCAATAGAAAAATTAAGAATCTGATTGTTTTATCTGCACGATTCCGCAGCTTGGTGTGATGGTGGACAGTGTGCTGTGCGCACTGTCTTATTTACACTTGGAGTTGCCAGGTTGCCTTCTTCAGGAATGATGGTCTTATGCCCTTATTTATATAAATAAAGTTTCCACAAAACCTTTAATGGTTTAATTGTTAAATTCTGATTCTTATGTAATTATTTAAGATGATAAAGCAAACAATTCATCTGTGCATGGCAATGGTATTTTATCTTGGGACACACACTGGTGAATTTTTTTTACTTGATTTACCTCTGTACATCACAGGTTCTCATACTATATTGAGATGCTTTTTTTATAGTTAACCTTTAGTTTTACTTTATGTATTATGGAAACTGTTTGAACATCACATATTGTATGAGAAAACTACTTGGGCCTTAGGTTGGGCCATCAAGAACTTCCATGGCTGGAGTAATAATGTGATGGTGTGTTGAAGAAGTCACCCGATGAGAGATACTGTATGTGTGAGGAAGTAGGAGTCATTAGATAAATAAGTCCCCAAATCCTAACTTTTTGACCTTAGATTGTTAATCAATACTGTATGTTAAAGTATGGCGATCTTTTGGTCAAAAAACACTCAGAATTGCAAATTACCATGTTTAACTACTTTAGTACAGGTATACTCTACAGAATAACCCAAAACATCCTTTTACTCTTGGATTATAATGCTGTATGGAGCGTCCTGTTGCTTCCATTAAGAATGAGGGTTTTAAACATTTTGACTGCTGTCAGCCAATGAAAATATACCAACTGTTAATATTGGCCAGTGGCATTGCTTTATTTAGAAAGAGTATTTTACAGCATTGCTATTAATTATATTTGTTGAGGCTTTTTGAAAACTTGTAAAAGGTGAGTCAAAGATCAATGGCAACTCTGTGATATTAAAGTTGCTAAAAGATCTGTCATTGCCTATTTAAACTTGATGAAGTGTGGCTCATTCCCAGGTGGCATGGAAGGAACTGATGACAGTGATAGAAGAATAAGTGTTCTAATTCCTTAACAATTTAATGTCCTACAATACTCGCCTGCTTCAGGTTGTGTGGAGAAAACACGGCAGCTGTGTTGGACTACTGTAAATGAAGACGAGACTTAATGTACTGACCTGGCCTGAAGACTTCCCCAGCATTAAGCAAAACCTGAACACTGGGTACATCATTGATCTTATGGGATTTATCAGAACCAAGATGCCATAACATGGAGAAGTTACAAAGTCATTTGCTAAATTGTGAAGTTGGTGTACAGCTCATCAAATCAGCATCCAGCACACAAGAAGGTGACACTAGGGTTATCGTGCACTCAAAGATGTGTGATCTAAAAACTGAAGATGTACTTTTAGTTTTACTTTTATCCTCTTTACCAATGATTGGCTTGTTAGCCATTTGGATGGTCGGTTACATCTCTGTTATGCACTGTTGGTGAGTATTGGGTATGAACTGGTTCCTGAATATATCAGAACTTGTTCCAGTGTTGGTCAAATCTAGCCTTGAAAGAGCCCACACTCATTGCCGTCACAAAACTCTCTGGCAGATTGTTCCAAGGGTTCACAATTTTCACTCCCAAAAAGTTTGCCCTCACTGTTTTCTGGACTTGTGGGTTCTTCAACCTTGAGCTGTGACCCCTTGTGGGGAGGGTGTCTGCCAGTTCCAGGGATGTTCATTCGGCCGAATAGTGCTTCCTGAGATGTTTATACACTTCAATTAGGTCGCCCCTTGTCCGTCTGTAGTATAAGATAGGCAGTTGCAAGAGTTCTAATCTCTCTGGGAAGCTGAGGTCCCGTAGTGCAGGCACCAGTTTGGTTGCCCTCCTTTGGATATTTTCAATCAATTGACAGTCTCAAGCATATCTCGGGGACCAGACGGGGTGACAGTATTCCAAAGCAACTCGCTCTTGAGGATCATGACAGGATCAGACCATCCAGATATCTAAATGACCTTAAAAGACCAACTATACCCCTTCCACGCTAACCTGGCCTGTAAGCTACACCCCTCATCTATAGCTACATATAGCTGATTGGTTCCCCTGAGTGTTTTGCCTCCTCCCGGGCTGTGCGTATTTATATCGACTTTTTATGATAAATATTTTAAAAAATTCTAACATCCTCTCTGAAGTGCTAATGCCTTGAAATCATTTGTATTTTGATAGTCCAGATATTTAACATTATTTTAGAGAATAAAAAGTTTGCTTACCAACTGTGAACACATTTAGTTTTAATTTTCTATGAACCAGTCAGCTATTAGTATAGAAGAGGGGCGTGGCCTATGGACCAGGTTAGTTTGGAAATACTATAGTTTCATTGCATGATTTACCTTCTTTTCACAATGGCCCGAGACAGATTTTCTTCAAATTTCATACAAAGGTGCTCTTTTACATGCTAATGAAGGATCTAGGTTCATAATTGAAAACTTTAAATAATTAGTGTCAATTGGTGATCCTTGCAATAAAAAAACATGTCTAGAGTATTTAAAACTACAATCACACTGTGCCTGTAAGTTTTAAATCCTCCTTATATTTAAAACGTCAAATACATTGTGCCTGTTGGATTTAAACCGCCCTGATATACATTTTCTCCATAGTATACACGATCTTTATGCTTTAAACACGTTAGTTTTCAGTTTCCAGAGAAAAGGCATTTATTAATGAAAAGACTGAACGATAGTTTCGGCGTATGAAGTCCTATAATGGATTTTGTTCAAAATTCATACAAAGGTTCTCTTTAACATGCTGATTAAGGATCTGGGTTCAGAATTTAAAATTTATAGTAACTAGTGTTAATTAATGAACTTTGAAATACAAGTATAGTAATTTAATACTTGCAGTATATTTAAAACGTCAATTACAGTATAAAGTACATTGTTCCCGTAAGTTTTAAACTGTTGGGAGCAGCAGATTTATAGTTTATGTAGCCTTTTGAAATTAATTCAGTATTGGTTAAAGTAAACCAATGATTAGAGGTACTACAGGTATACTGTACTATACTGTAACTTAGCCAATGGTACAGTACTTGCTCTCACACGGCCCCTGTGAGAAAAAGTAGCAACATCTGGCTGTAAATTTCTTGTGAACTCAATACTTCTTGAATAAAAAGAAGCTCATTAAACACTTTCAAGAACTACTTTCTTTCACTCCATTTCCCTCCCTCCCTTCTACTCCCTTACCCTAGTTACCTTTCTCTCTCTCTCTTCCCCTTCCTCCCTTCCCTTCCCTCCTGTCCCCCCTCTCTCCCCCTCCCTTCCCTTCTCCCTCCCTCGTCCCCTTCCCCTCCCCTCCCTCCCTCTCTCGTTCCTTCCAGTCCCCTCTGCCCTTCCTTCTCCCTTCCCCCCCCCCTCCCCTTCCCTCGTTCCTTTCCGCTATCTTCCCCTTCCTCGCCTTTTCCCTTCCTCCCACCCCTTCCCTCATTTCCCCTCCCTGTCTTGCCCTCCCTTCTCTTCCTTCCTCACCCTCTACCCCCTTCCATTCTTTCCTCTTTCTTCCCTTCCCTTCCTTCTCCCCTCTCCTCCCTTCCCCTCCCTCCATTCGCCTCTCTCCCTTTCCCTTCTTTCTTTCTTCTCCCTTCACCTCCTTCCTTCACCTCCTTCCCTTCCCTTCCTTCCCTTCACCTCCTTCCCTTCACCTCTCTCTTCACTTCCTTCCTCTCCCTTCACCTCCTTCCCTTCCCCTCCTTCTATCTTCCCTCGTCCTACTGCCGCCGCCAAGCCCCCATTAGGAGATTGCCGCCATTCAGCGGCTTCTCACAAGGTCTCCTATGGACTCATAATGTCCCAAAAGGTCTCACAAGGATTCATAAGGCCTCGCAAAGACTCATAAGGATTCATAAGATCTCACAAGGACTCATAAGGACTCATTAGGTCTCACAAAGACTCATAAGGTCTCACAAGGACTTAAAAAGGCCCAATAGAACCTCATAAAATCCCATAGGACCCCATAGAACCTCATTGAATTCAGGGGGTCAATGGGCGTCGCCCCAAGAGGGTCTCCCAGGGGCGGCGCCCTCAGGGGCCTTCCCAAAGGCGGCTCCCCCAGCATCCTCCCAGTGGTGGCACCCCCAGGGGCCCTACCAGTGTTCACACCCAAGAATCCTCCCAGGGGAGGCGCCCCCAGAGGCCCGCCCAGAACCAGCGTCCCAGGGGCGGCGCCCGCAGACGTCATACCGGGGGCCTTCCCAGCGGCGGCGCCCTCAGGGGCCCTAAAGAAGCGGCACCCCAGGGAAAATATCAGGGGGCCTCCGAGAGACAGGATATCAGGGACCCTACCAGGGGGGTGGCACTCCTAGTAGCGGCGCCCCCTGGGACCCTACCAGGGTCCTTCCAGAGGCGCCGCTCCCAGGTGCCCAACCAGGGTCGCCCAGTTGTACCATAGTTATTACAAACGTAAAGCAATCCCTTACTTAACTGTGATTGGTGGACTAAAATGTAAACCCACCAAGTTACAGCCAAAAGGAGAAAAGAGCAGTCAGTCAGCACAACACCACAACTTATGTTTTCCTGTTGGGTATTATTCTCCATTACATTGTTCAGGATGCGATGTTGATACTGGAAACGCGAAAGCGGGTATATTTATTTAATATCACATCCCCCAGAGTTCTAAACCGCTTAAAAACAGATACCCCCAGGGGCCTCCCGGTGCCGGCGACGACCACAGGAGTCCTCCAGGAGTGATGGTGCCCCAGGGGGCCTCACAGGGGCGGGGGCGTTTCAGGGGCCTCTGAGCATCCAGGGGGCCTCCCAAGAGTGCAGGCAGCACCAGGGGGCCTCTAAGGGGCAGTGGCGCCCCAAGGGGGCGTACCAGGAGCCTCTTGGGGGCGAGGGCTCCCGCAGGCTGCCTCCCAAGGGAAGTGGCGCCCCCAGGGGACCTCCCAGGGACGGCGGAACACCCAGGGGGCCTCCCAGTGGGTTTTCCAGGAGCAAGGGTGCCACAAGGGGGCCTCCCAGGAGCGGGGTCGCCTCCAGGGGGCATTTCAGGGGCGATGGTGCCCCAGGGGGAATCTCAAAGGCGGGAGCACTGCTTGGGGGCCTCCCAGAGGCGAGAGATGGCCCCAGGTGCCATAACAGGGTCGCCCCCTCCCAGAGTCCCTTTAGCTTGCTTAGTTGTACCATAGTTATTACAAACGTAAAGCAATCCCTTACTTAACTGTGATTGGTGGACTAAAATGTAAACCCACCAACTTACAGCCAATAGGAGAAAAGAGCTGTCAGTCAGCACAACACCCCAACTTATGTTTTCCTGTTGGGTATTATTCTCCATTACATTGTTCAGGATGCGATGTTGATACTGGAAATGCGAAAGTGGGTATATTTCTTTAATATCGCATATCCCAGAGTTCTAAACAGCTTAATAATAGCTACCCCCAGGGGCCTCCCGGTGCCGGCGGCGACCACACGAGTCCTCCAGGAGTGTTGGTGCCCCAGGAGGCCTCACAGGGGCGGGGGCATTCCAGGGGCCTCTGAGCATCCAGGGGGCCTCCCAAGGGAGCAGGCGGCATCAAGGAGCAGTGGCGCCCCAAGGAGGCCTACCAGGAGCCTCTCAGGGGCGGGGGCTCCCGCAGGCTGCCTCCCAAGGGAAGTGGCGCCCCCAGGGGACCTCCCAGGGACGGTGGAACACCCAGGGGTGCCTCCCAGTGGGTTTTCCAGGAGCAAGGGTGCCACAAGGGGGCCTCCCAGGAGCGGGGTCGCCTCCAGAGGGCGTTTCAGGGGCGACAGTGCCCCAGGGGGCATCTCAAAGGCGGGAGCACTGCTTGGGGGCCTCCCAGAGGCGAGAGACGGCCCCAGGTGCCATACCAGGGACGCCCCCTCCCAGAGTCCCTTTAGCTTGCTTAGTTGGGCCATAGTTATTACAAACGTAAAGCAATCCCTTACTTAACTGTGATTGGTGGACTAAAATGTAAACACACCAAGTTACAGCCAATAGGAGAAAAGAGCAGTCAGTCAGCACAACACCCCAACTTATGTTTTCCTGTTGGGTATTATTCTCCATTACATTGTTCAGGATGCGATGTTGATACTGGAAATGCGAAAGCGGGTGTATTTCTTTAATATCGCATCTCCCAGAGTTCTAATCAGCATAAACACAGCTGCCCCCAAGGGGCCTCCCAGCAGCAGGGATGCCCCCAGGGGTCCTCCTAGGTGACGGGACGCCCCCATTGGGCCTCCCAAGGAAGGAGTGCCCCCAGGAACCTCCCAGAGATGGTGGCACCCCCAGGGGGCCTGTTAGTGGGCTTTCTAGGAGCGGGGGCGACCCAGGGGGTCTTTCAGGGTCGCCTTTGCCCCCAGGTGGCCTCCCAGAGGTAGGGTTGCCACTAGGGGGCCTCCCAGGATCAAGGGCACCCACACGGGGCTTTTCAGGGGCCTCCCAGGAGCAAAAGACACCACCAAGGGGCATAGCAGGGGCCTTCACGCCTCCAGGGGGCTTTCTATTAGCAAGGGACGCCACCAAGGGGCTTTGCAAGGGCGGGGGCGCCCCCCGGGGACCTCCCCATGGCGAGGGTGCCGCCAGGGGTCCTCCCCGTGTCGTAGATGAGCCCCACGGGACCTCCCACGGAAGGAGCGCCCCCAGTGGACCTCCCAGTGACGTCGACACCCCTAGGGGGGCCTCCCAGCAGGCTTTCCAGGAGCGGGGGTGCCACAAGGGGGCCTGTAAGGGACTGGGGCGCTTCCGGGGGGTGTTTCAGGGACTACGGCGCCCCTAGGTGGCATCTCCGAGGCGGAGGCACCCTCTGAAGGCCTCCCAGAGGCGGGAGCGGCCCCAGGGTCCCTATGAGGGTGGCCCCCTCCCAGGTGCCCAAAAGCCTGCTTAATTGTTTTGTATTTATTACATATGTCCAGTAATGCCTTGCATATCTATGATTGGTGGGCCAAAATGTAAACCCACCAAGTTACAGCCAATAGGAGAAAAGAGCAGTCAGTCAGCACAACACCACAACTTATGTTTTCCTGTTGGGTATTATTCTCCATTACATTGTTCAGGATGCGATGTTGATACTGGAAATGCTAAAACCCAAGGGAGATGTGATATTAAAGAAATACACCCACCCGCTTTCACATTTCCAGTATCAACATCGCATCGGTCCAGGAGTCCCCTGGAGGTATCTGTTTTTAAGCTGTTTAGAACTCTGGGGGATGTGATATTAAATAAATACACCCGCTTTCGCATTTCCAGTATCAACATCGCATCCTGAACAATGTAATGGAGAATAATACCCAACACCAAATCAACATCGGAACAATGTTGGAGAATAATACCCAACAGGAAAACATAAGTTGGGGTGTTGTGCTGACTGACTGCTCTTTTCTCCTATTGGCTGAAACTTGGTGTGTTTACGTTTTAGTCCACCAATCACAGTTAAGTAAGGGATTGCTTTACGTTTGTAATAACTATGGCCCAACTAAGCAAGCTAAAGGGACTCTGGGAGGGGGCGACCCTGTTATGGCGCCTGGGGCCGTCTCTTGCCTCTGGGAGGCCCCCAAGCAGTGCTCCCGCCTTTGAGATGCCCCCTGGGGCACTGTCGCCCCTGAGTGGGAGCTGAAAATTTCAGAGCCTCACCACAAATATTCTGAAATTTCAACTTGTTGTTTCCTCATTTCAGATTACTCCGACTGGCTCTCTGGGACTCCAAACACTTATGTTGTTCCTGCGCTCGAAACGTTCCTGTTGTTCCTCCTCTCCCTTAGCAGTAGGTTTGCTAGTTGCCGTCTCTTCAACATACTTCTTCAGAGTCCCAAGCTGGTGTAGAAACTGTGGCCCTACTAAAGCCTATAGGACATTAATTTATCAAGTTATTCTCTTAAAACATGATGGTCTTTATTGAAATGTAATTACACAAAAAATATATATTTACAATACATTTAACATAATATAAAATACAATGAAGACTGCAGGAACAATTTTCCTTTCAGTTTTCACAATGAGGTATTTACAGCCAGGGCCTTGTAGTACAAAATACAAGCATGTTTACATCAGTTTTCAGATTTACATGTGGACGAGAATATTTAAAAATGTATACAACTTATAACATCCTGGCACCTTTAACTTTAAGGACACACAGTACAGTAGTCTCACATCTGCACTAAACTGTATTATTTAGTTTGAATGAGATCACTGGAATACCTTGTTTGGTCTGGACACAGTTCGGAATAGAAGTCACTGTTCAATTTTTATCACTGCTATAAATTATTGAGGAAACAGCCTCTTAATCTGTATATTAATATAAATTCTTTGAACATTTGTAAGTATGATAAACATTTTCTACTAAGTTTGATCCAGGAACCTTTTTTCATTGCAAACTTTTATATATCTTCACATGACTTTTGTTGCAGACACAAATGGTTTAGACTGTGAAGATCATTATACCACACACACTGTGTGAAGGTCTGGATACTGGTCCAGTTTGAAGAGACGTTTTCAGAATGATGAAAAACGGACAGTTTCTTCAGCACCACTGTTCATGTGGTCGTGGACTTGTTGCAACACTAAGCGTAGAACTTCTTGATGTTGGAACAGGTGTGTGTGAGGTGTGCAAAGAGTAGTGATTATGGTGGGTAGAATGCTGGTGGTGGTTGTGGTTGTGTTGATGGTGGTGTGAATGTGAAGAAGTAAAGTGGGTGGTAGTCATACCGACATGGTTGTATATTTCTGCTCGAAACACATCCTGCTCATTTTCACCAGGTTGATTGCAATCCAGATGTAGAGCAGCATCTGGAGAGTGAGCTCTGTGGATGCCCAGATGAGACACTCTCTCATTTATAGGTGTGGATGCTGCACCTTGAGGACTAGGACGCCTACTCAGACCTTCAGCCGACACAGGACTTCCACTGATAATCATGCGGACACTGCCATCCCCTTGGGATCTAGAGGAGTAATGGTCATGTCCTTGTGAAGTATAATGTGTTCTTTCTTGAGGTCTGTCATAGATGTTTTCATGGCTATGGTGGTTTGGCCTCTCATGACCACGCTCATATATTGTCTGAGACTGAAGATCATTGTCCCGGCAATGGATATCAGTGTCCAGTGATGGCCAAGTCTGGAGAGCACTGTAGCGGGAATTACAGGGACCGGTGGTAGAAGAGCGAGAGGTTGCCGATCCTTCTTCCACACTTTGGAGACTCGTTGTCCTCTGAAGGCTGAGCCGCTCAGGTTTTTTAGGTGGTACAGGTTTTGTACGAGATGGTGGCCGAGAGTCCTGTGAAATCAAATAGCAATGTAAGTATATAATGGTCCAGCATTAAATCTCTAATCATCATTACTGCAAGTAACTTCACTGAAACTGCGTAATGGTATATGAGAGAAATATTAAAAAAAATTAATTGCAAGTAACTAGAGTTTTTTTGTTCATAATTTATGGAAACAGTATAGTACAGTGGTTAGCATTTTAAGGTTTTTGAAAATGATGAAGCTTTTATGAAAACTATATCAACCCTATTAATTTCTATATACAGCACAGATATTCTCTCCAAGTAACTCAGTAACTTTCTTTCAATGAAATTTTAAATAAAGTATTTTCTTCTATACATTTTTCTTATCATCTTACACAGACAGTCCCCGAGTTATGAACAGGATCCCAATATATTTATCACAATAATCTGTAACTAAAATCCTATTTTTTACATTAATTTCATTATTCTGTATTGTTTAACATCACTTTATTTACATTATTATTTATGTTTGAGATATTGATATTTCTTGTTAGGGCAAGGTTGTGTTTTAACCTAACCTACGGAATTAACACTGTTCTAACTTATGAATTGGGTCGAGGAACATAACCCATTCGTAACTCAGGGACTGCCTGTACTTCTTTTGTTATCTACTTACATACTACCCCTGTATATTGTTACTATTTTAACTCACACAACAAATTTTCCACTTTAACACAACTAAGAGTAATTCTTTGCACTTTTTATTTTAATGTCTCAATCTGAATTAAATTTTAGAGATTTCCTCAAGTTTCCTCTATCTTCCTGGTCATTAAGTCTAAAATGAATTTATGTCTAATAAGTCACCCCAAAAAATAATAAGTTCTAAACATTATGTACAAGATATATGCCGTGAAAAAAGCAAAAAAATAATACTATACAGTACTGTACCTCATTCTTGGAGTCTGGTCGAGGAGACAAGATCCGTCTGCGATAATCAGATGCAGATGTGGGTCTTGAGGAGCCGACTTGGCCCAGGGTATGACGGTCGTGCGAGTCAGACTGGGAGGAACTTGGAGAAGATATTGAAGAGTCAGGGGACCTCAACCTAGGCAGAGTAGGGTACTGTTGAGCCCTCTCCACCTCTCCACTCCCTACTTCAGGGCTTGCTACTGCTAACTTTTGGTCACCCTTCTGGAACACCTGTGGAGACACACACTAGTACTAACAGGAAGAAATAAATGGACATCTTAATGAGAATGTAGAATTATTTAAGACCCGTCTTTACAACAGCAGCTGGAGACAAAATTGTCTAATGAAAAATCACTACTTATTCTAATGGAAGTTCATACTAATAATTCGTAAGTTTAACTGATGATACTTAAGAAGTTTATGTTTTAGCCACAGAGATGTATTCAAGAGGTTACACGTGACAACGGTACAAACTCAGGAATCATCAAAATACCAATTACTGTACAGCGAGGACATTATGAGTGTAACGAGTAGGATGACGGTCACGAGGAGGAGGTTGATGCCATCCTTAAGACTTTGAACTCTGAGAATGATGAAAATTTCCGTCTAGAAGGAAGGATTGACGAGGAAGACATTGGTGATGGTCATGACAACCTAACCCCCCAAATAAAAAAATACTGAGTGAATATATACCGTATGTATTTTTAAAGCAGCCTCTCTTTTTAAAACAAAAATATGTGTCTGAACATAGTGTGAGGGTGTATGAGGATCTATGGGGGTGTGTGAGGCTGCTGTGAGGGTGTGTGAGGCTGCTGTGACTGTGTGTGAGGCTGCTGTGAGGGTGTGTGCCGAGGGCAGGTGGAGGTAAGCCTAATTGTATATTCCTCAACTTACTAACTAAAGTGCCTTGGGTGCCTATATACAGTACGGTACCTGGATAACAGTAGCCCCCGGCTGTGAGGTGGTGACAATGGCCTCCCCATTTGTGTGGTTGAGGGCAGCTTCTCGGGTGCGGTTGAGGGTTGACTGCAGGTCTGATACTTGTTCCTCCAGATAGCCGATGCGATGGTTGAGTCTCGTGTTGTCACTCCTGCAAGGGGCAAGTTTTAATGATAAGACCAGTCGACTATTCTATAATATAACCTAATCTAACCATACCTAACTTAATATACAGTATTTGGCTATGAAAAGCTAAGTGAAATACCTGAAGTACTGATTTAAAAGTGAACAGCAATTTAGATTACAACCTGTACCTCCACGTTTACTTACATGCACAGAAATAAATATCCTAACAAAGCCTGATAAAAGGTAAAACTAACTGAACCTTAAGCAAATTTCACTAAGTACCATATCCCAATACTGTACTGTACTCACTTGAGAGTATCTTTATCCTTTAGGGCTTTGTCAAGTCTAGCCACCAAATCCTTGATCTCACGTGCCCTGTCCTCAAGCTGTTTCTCCAAGCGTCCTTCTGCCCTACGTCCACCAGTGCCTTGTGAAGTAGAGAACAAATCTTAGTTTCAAGCTGTTTATCTTAAGAGTTTACTTTATTTTGTAAAATTCGGAATACATAATACAAGTAATATTCTTAACCTTTTCTTAAGAATCTTTATATGTTCATGACAAAGAAGAAAACACACATGTTAATAAAAACTGTAACATTCAAGATTGCTGTTAATAAATCAAGATAAAAAAAATGAAGTGAACAAAGAGTACCAGTGGTGGGCCTGGCGATGACCAGGGTGAGGTGAGGGGCTGAACCCATCAGTCTGGTTACCAGCTCCAGGGCACGACCCACTACATTTTCCCCATTCACCTCCAACAGCCTACGGTGGAAGGTGAAACACATTTGTTTTAAAAAAATGATAAGAAACAATCATCAAAGATATGTACTGGAAATAACCATCTAATGGCTTCGTCACCTATCTTTGGTCAAATGATCTTACCGTTTCCTGTTGTTGTATACCTGCACTGTTTACTTTTTCTACTTATATCATCTTCACCATTGATCAGCTCGTTAGTCATTTGGGCGTTAAGTCCCATCTCTGTTATGCACTGATGGCAAGCACTGTACTCTGCATGTTGGTGGGAAGTTCAGCATAGTGACCTGACGTCCAGAAAGGATGCTACTGGCTATGCGCCCTTCACCAACATCTTAACAGAACTGTACATTGAAAACTGTATACCTACAGAGGCTATATACACCGTATACTGTCCTGCACCTGTACTGTAGTCCCTCGTCAACCACATGGATTAGGTTCCATGGCTGCGGATAACACTGATTGTTGGCTCAAACAGAGATGCTGTATAGAACAATGGCATAGATTTGTTGTGAGTGAGGGGGGGGGGATGATTATATAGGAAATATTCTAATTCAATTGTACAGGGGATGCATCTGTTTCCCCCAGGATCTACGAGTATGCTCCTGGTATCGAGTACCACAAAGTAGCTGCATTATAGTCTACCATCAAAAGGAAAAATACTGTATATAATTGATGTAATATGACCGGGGGAAACATGTAAATGGAATAATTACTAACTTTCTTTAAGCTAATTTTATGTTAGTCATAAGGACAAAATTAGTGTCTTACCTGTCACCCTTTTTTAATCTGGTATCATCTGTAGCCCAGTCTATGACACAGCCAAGAGGTGGTCGAGGTGTGACATGGAAAGGTGGATTCCCCGGTGTATGAGGGATGCAAACACTCATCAATGTTGCCCCTCCTAAAGCAGCACCTCCTCCTGTGGAGGTCAAGAGGGCATACAGTGAGGACTGTGACCCAGGGGTTCCGTTGGAAGTAGAAGATGAGGGACTATCCTGAAGACGAGCATTGAGAACTGAAGATTCCTCCTTCAGGTTAAGAATGTTGAGCTCTTCTCGTTCCAGCTCATACTCAAGTTCAGCAGCACGGATCCTGACGTCGATGTTGCTGGGGAGTAGATAAATCAGCTGGTGAACCTTCGAAACAGTGTGGAGTTATGGCTGTAACTAAAGGATTGAGTCTAGAATTCAATGTCAGGTTCACACATATGATGTCACAACTCATTGCTTTCTAGCTTTATTTTCCATCACTTCTAAAGAGCCTTTGTAGGTTCTTGGTTATAATGGGAAAGTAAAACTAATTAGTCTCTGCAACTATTAATTAAGAATGTACCTTGGTTTCAAATATTGTACAGGGGTTGCTTAGGGAAGGAACTGGGTCATGAACTGTAGTTTCTTGACACAATATAAAATTAAGCACACGAGTGAAAACTGTTAGAAATAATAAAAGTAACAATAATAGTCCAACCAGTCATAATGTTTTGCTTACAAACAGTTAATAAAAATATATAAAAAAGTTATTGTAAACATTGGTTATTTATCCAAAGAGGATCACTACACTGTACCGTACTTACTCAGTGATATCAATCTTTTCCAAGGCAAGTTTCAGATTTTTTATAGCAACCTTCTTGGCATCCATTTCCCCCTGCACTTTGTTGAGCCGATCCTGGATGCTGCGACGCTCTGTCTCTGAGATCACGCCACCACCTTCACCACTGCCACCCACAGTCCCACCCAAATTGGTAATCTGGGTCTTCAGTCTGTAAAAATGTTCTTTTTGAGAGTACAAATCATATTTATGGATAATGTCATATAACATTCAATACCTTAAATTTTGTGGTTAGTTTTCAGGTTTTTAAATGGAGGGCAAATTATTGATTTGAACTTGCAAGTTGAGTGTTTTATTTATCTTTAAAACCCATTGTAATGCACTACTGGAATATTACCTTTACTGTTACAAGTGTATGACTGTAAGTTGTAGATCAATACTTACAGTACTATATATCCTCATCAGAATCAGTGCCTCCATGTGCACACTAAACTATAACACAGTAATGAAAAACAAACTAATCATCATAACTAATCAAACTAATCATCATGGCTTTATTCTTTACGTTATAGATGACCCTCCCTCGATGCCAGTCAGGGTGCAACTGCCGTCCCTAACTGGCCGCCATTAACCCGGCCGACGCTTGGCACAATCCTTCCTCGGTTAACAGTGAGGACTGTATGTAAACAACAAGTCTTAACAACCGAGGGGGCGGTCCAGAAACACATGCTAAAAGGTAAAGTTAACATCTGTAGTTCTTTCAAACTTAAGCCATAGAGTACTAACAAAAATTTGTGCCAACACACATCAACACCCACACATACATGCAATAACACAACGCAAGAACCTTGGTGAACACAGGTAAGACGTCACTGGAACTCACGACTGTATGACTGTGTCCTTGTCCCTGAGGGCCTGGTGGAGGGCGTCCAGCTCCCGCACCAAGTCCCGGGCTGCCCTGGGCAGTGTCTCCAACAGTGCCTCCCGTCGACGCTTCCACCCCAGCGACACCTCGATGCTCGCCATCTGTAGGAGTCAGGCATTAGTGTGTGTGTGTGTGATGGCTGAAGGTTGAATATGAGTGAGTATGGTGGATGGGTGTTGAATATGGATATGGGTGATGGATAGTGGCTGAATATGGGTGATGGTGGATGATGGTTGAATATAGGTGAGTGAGTTGGATGATGATTGAATACGGGTCAGTGTAGTGGGTGAATTAAGGGTGGTTAATTGGTTAGTGGTAGTCGAGTATGGATGAGAGTGGTGGGTGGCTGAGGCCTAGCATAGAGGAACATGATGAGGCGGTTGTTCGTTGCAGTTCCTGGCGACACGAACACACCGATATCCCGTCCCTCGATACGGTCCGTGGAATCCACATCAAGGACATGAAAAGTTGACAGACACACGTACATTTCCCTCACCAATTGGTATGCCTGTATGCATCCCTTTATATAGTACTGTACTGTATAATCTATGTATTGTAGTGTACTGTACTCGTATTAATTTATTTTCTCATCTAAATGTTTGATCAACTGTATTGCAGGTACAGTATATGCATCATCATCATAATACACTACACTGTTTTATATTTTCTCACTTACATATTTGAAAAGTTAAGGTAAATCACTTAAGGTTTTCACTCTCTTATATGGAGGTAATAATTTCATGGACATTAGGCACCTCACGTAACGCCATTGTGAAAAGCGTGTTAAATAATGGCATGGTCCTGGGTAATAAATATCAGCTGTGTACACTGCATCACACGAGCATGACCAGGATCACTAGAGAGACTTTCACTGTATGTGGGGTGAGTGTGCGAGTGGGAGACAGCAGTGAAAATTACTCCTGTTCTATAATCTAATGATACAAGAAGGGAGACGCCAACCTCTACACCATTCCGCAGGCGAATCACATGGGTGGTGTGGACACTTAGCATACCAGTAAACGTTGGAATTGTCATTTATGGTAGTCGTCGAAAAGCACAGTAATGGTTCAGCCTCATGTCATCAGTATTTACTCCGGATCAATGCGTCTCCATGTTTCAGAATCTGTGATGGCGCCCTCAATAATTTTCCGTGTTTATATTTTTACACACACATATTAAACTGTGATATATACTGTATGTCAAGATGCAACAATTTATCAGTACAATTTTATAAGTTTATGATGTTAATATTTAGAATAAAGACGTTTGGTACATTATATTTATTTTCTTCATCCATGTGTACCAATGTTCCCGCCTATTACTAGAATAACCAGAGACTAATAAGGCTATTTGAGTTGGATATTAGCAAGTGAATTATACAATGTCAACATAATAAGGCACATCCTGTCTGTTATGAAATATGACCCCGTTATCCTATCAATCAAGTCGGATATCCTACAGGCTGAACAGACTATGATGCTTGTGTTTTCTAATGATTTGATAAATTTTACACGGACTACAAAAGACGAACTGAACGCTGCTCATGTGAAAGGTGAGGCGGACTGCATTTGTAGGAACCTGAATTACTTGTATATAAGGAGACTTAAAAAAAAGGGACATATATATATCAAGCAAATTTATCTGAGAATAGTAAATTTAACCTCAAGAATAAAGAATAATATTGTAGATAATTATTCAAGCTGAATTTGTGGTAGATATGATACGACTTTAATTGCAATAAGAGAGGTGACCTGGCTTCAATAAGGTACCTGTATAGTATATTATGAACTTTTCCTCGGTGTGTCTGCTAGAGTTTGGTGGTGTAGAGCAGCCAGAATGATCTCTGCTGTTGCAACTTCATGCAACATGACAGGCAATTGCTGTTGACCTGCCTGGGAGAACTTAATAATGGGAAGATGACACAGTTGATGGTGAAAGGGAACGCGTGGTGGTGGTGGTAATAGGCGAGTATAGGTGATGGTGTGGTGGAGGTATTGGTGGTGGTGGTGGTGCATTGAGTGTTGTAGTAATGAGGGTCAAGGGTATGTTATGGTGCTGGCGGTGAGGGAGAGTTGTGGTGAAAAAGAGGTGGTGAGGCTTGTGTGAATTAAACGGTGCTGGAGGAGCCCCCAAGGTCCTTTATGTTTGCAAAGAAGAACCCGTGTTCATCATGACGTTAAGAATGGTACGACTTTCGACAAATTTACCAATAATTGCGCCTCATCTAAACGTGTCGAGTGTTTCGTACGTCTCGTGGAGTGTATGACTGATGTCCACCGGGCAGGGTACATTCACGGCGACATAAAGGGCGACAATATGAAGACGAAACAACCGGTGAACTTGGCAATCCGTATTTTACCATTCCCGCTATCGGCGAGCATTACGCACCTGAACTATAGGGAGCCAACGTTACAACAGGGGCTGCTCTGGTGGTCTACTCAGCTGGTAGTTTATTGTAAAGGTCAAGTAAAAAGCGAAAGGATTTGCCATGGACGATGAAGGAAATTGCACTAACTATGCTTTCCTGACCCCAAGGATCGCCCCTCACTCAAGGAGGTCTCGAGGAGGTTAAAGGGCCTCATGCCCGGCCAAAATCTAACAGGATCTAAATTGTTACGACGCCTCTTAGTCTGTGGTGGTTTACTCGTTTTCATTGTACTTCTCACTCTGGCCGTCTTTCTGAAGTACAGGGACGAGAGGGAATGTTTGGAATATGCAGTCCTTCTATTACCGACTCCTTAAAAACACGCTCTTGGGGAATCTTGGTTTAGTATTTCTCAAGAGTGTGTCGGAGTGTGACACATCAGTGCGGGGGGACTGTTGTGTCACACTCCGCCACACAGAGCTGTGCAGTGGTTTGTGTCCAACTTGGGTTGACTTTTATCATAAAACTAATAAAAAATATTTGTATTATTGTTATTATTATCCTCACCATCATTATTTTGGGTAAAATCATTCACCACCGATATAAGTCTCAACAGTGTGTTTGTGTCAGTGTCTGTGTGTCAATGCCATAACTCCAAGACCTGAAACTTTGCATGTACAGCACTGTGTATATTAAGTAATTTACAATACCCAGTGATGTAAGTTCTGTTACGAACCCCGCCACCAATTGTCATGATCTACCTACCCAGCACCACGAGCAACGCCATCTAGGGACGAAACACGAGTATGACTCGTCTTAGTTACCACTCCGGGGTTTCCCTTCTCCATATCCTGGTTGTTGCGTCACCTCCTCCAAGTCTTCTTTGTCAGCTCGAGTTCGAGGAGAGATGAGTTCACTCTGGGAAGTGACCACAGGATCACCTATCCTGGAAACCTACGGCACAGTGACTACCGACCGTCTTCTACAATACTCGGCCTTACTCGTCAGCCATCTCAGCTCCGCACTTAGGTATTTGTTATCCTGTATTGCCTCCCCGCGTCCACTTGCTTCAAAATTGTTGTATGTTGTATAACTATGTATATACTGTTAATGTTTAGGTTAAGTATGGTTAAGGGTAAATTATAGAAAGCTGAATATTTTGTTAAGGAATTTATGGTACTTTATTATACACAACAAAAACTCGCATCCTTTGTCTACCCTTTTATAGTCCGATTGTCTTTGTGTTTTTGTTGTTGTTGCCTGTTGGGATCTGGGTAGACTTTAACTATATTCTAAATCCCCAACTCGTAACAGTTCTCATAAATACATAATAATAACATATGCTTATATGTATCGCAGGTGTTTCCAGAAGAGAAGTTTAAAATAGGTATTCTTATCGTTTCGGTCACCCAGCGAATTTTAGGATTTTATGTTTGGAATTAGTAGTTTAGACAATTCTAAGACAATCTCTCTATGTATCTAAAGTAATCACTGTACGTATCTAAAGTAATCACTGTACGTATTTACAGTAATCACTGTACGTATCTAAAGTAATCACTGTACGTATCTAAAGTAATCACTGTACGTATCTAAAGTAATTACTGTACGTATCTAAAGTAATTACTGTACGTATCTAAAGTAATCACTGTACGTACCTTAAATAGTATTCTCCATGACAGATCCATCAGTACAACACTAGACTCAACAGAGAGGAAGGGAAAGATATATTCAGAATGATAATTTTTTTTAAGTCTGTCCTCTGAGAAGGTTTGGTCTACTGTACAGGTCATTGATCACATTGCAGGTCTATAATCCATTGTACAGGTCCCCGACACAGCACAGGTTCTAGACACAGCACAGGTCCTCGACACAGCACAGGTCCTCGACACAGCACAGGTTCTAGACACAGCACAGGTCCTCGACACAGCACAGGTTCTAGATAGAGCACGACCGACCCAACTCCGCCTCCACCACTCACTGAGCGAAGGCCAAACACGCAACTTAGGCGGCGAACGGTGTAGCAGTGAGAGAGAACCGGCAGTAAGAGAGGGCTGGGACAGGAAGAGGGCCAAGAGAGGGGGGAGGGGGGAGACAAGGACTGATAGCATGATGATGGTAAAGGTCAAATCATGTATATCGACAAATACTCAGATAATTTATTCGGAAACAAGGAAAAAAAACTTCCTTCAGTCAGAAAAACACAGAATTATTACATCCCTTGTGTTGTGTTGCATCTCGTAATGATAAAAAAGGATTAAAACAGACACGGTATTCTTGATAGTGTTTTTGTTAATCATATGGTAAGAGAAAACGACCTTTTTATCACAGTTCTCCCTTCATACTCCCATCACTTTACATAACCGTCTCGACCAGCCTCAGCCTCGTAACACTATAAACTTAATAACAAAAATGGTCAAAATAGGCGACGATAAAACACGATTCTCATTTTTCACGGCGCCTCAATCACAGAGCCGCCACGCACCCACCCCGTAACCTCTACCACCCTGCAACCTCCACCACCCTGTGACTCCACCACCCTGTGACTCCACCACCCCAGCTCCTCCACCACCCTAGCTCCTCCACCACCCTAGCTCCTCCACCACCCCAGCTCCTCCACCACCCAGCTCCTCCACCACCCAGCTCCTCCACCACCCCAGCTCCTCCACCACCCCATCTCCACCACCCCAGCCTCCCACCACCCCACTCCCTCCACCACCTAGCTCATCCACCACCCTAGCTCCTCCACCACCTAGCTCCTCCACCACCCTAGCTCCTCCACCACCCCAGCTCCTCCACCACCCAAACAATTACTACCGATCACGACCTCACCTCCCACCCCAGCCAAGACCCGCCGACCATGCGACCCTGTAAAAAAAAAAAGATGTAGTTACCGTGACCCTGAGGGCGCCTTGGGTCTAGGGAGCTGGGGGATGGAAGGGAGGGAGGATAGAAGGAGTATTGTGCGATTATGGAGGTTGGGGAGAGGGTGAGAGTTAAGAAGAGGATGAGAGTTAAGGAGAAGAAAGGAAGAGTTGACTGAGATAGTAGAAGAGAGGGACCTTGGTTGAGCACTAACTGTTAAGTACTGAAGGGGAGGTGATGGTGTGGGATTATAGGGTCATCAGGGGAAGGAGGAGGAAGGGGGGGCAAGGGGGGCAAGGGGAAAGGGAGGTGGAGGGGGAGAAGAAAGAGGTGGTGTGTGAGGGTTGGGATAACACAAGGTCTCGCTTTAACTTGACCACGAAGGTGTGATGCTCAGGGTGGTGTGGTGTGTTGGTCTACAGGTGATGAAGGGGCACTGATCGAGCTCCTGTCGTGGGAACTATGTGTAGGGAGTGTAGAAGCAGAAATGGGCGTCGTGGGCGTGTTTTTGAACGGGAATGTATATAGTTGGGTGTAATAATAATAATAATAATAATAATAATAATAAATATAATAATAATAATAATAATAATAAGGAGAAGAAACATTGGCTCTTGATAGTTTAATATAAAATGCTTGTTCAGATAACGTTTATTTATATTAAGCATGACGCATTGATTCAGCGCGTTCAGGTATATAGCATAAGTTTACACACCATTTACCTCACACGCTTTCTAGACCCAACACTCCACACACGTTTGCTCTTAAAAATATTTGAATCTTTATTACCTCAAAATAAATCATCAAAACAAATCCCTAACTTAAATAAATACAAACATACACATATAAAAACGAACACATGTGCACATCAGGATACACAAAACTAAGAAATGTTTGTATATGTTTCAACTGATGTAAAAATCACCCAAATAGGTTTAAACATTTCACCAGGAGGAATGACAGCGTAGTGGAGATAGTTTAATTAACTCCTTTGGTACTAGGGGTCTCTCTATGCTGAGTAAAATAGCCTGGTGTTAGCTAAATAAAATATTAAAAGTGGCATCCTCGTAATGAAGGGTTTAATATAGTCTCCCCTCTTCGCTTCACCTCTAACCTCTTCAATTCAACGTTTTCTTTGTTATGTCCTCCGTCTGGGTACTTACGGTTGCTACATAACACAACACACTCTTCAACTACCCCGTGTGTCTTAGTGACTGCTTGCTGTAGAATTATTGTACATGAAACAAGAAGTAAGAGCGCTACATTTTTAATAGTACCGGATTTAATAAGTAAATAACCTGCATTGTATTCCTAAGATACGAGTAACTATCTTATCCGGTATTTTGATTAACCGGCACCTCTCATCATCCCTCGACCCTCCTCTTACCGGATAATAAAGCTTTTACTGTACTGAGGTAAGATCCAAGAGCAATTATATAAACAAACATATGCAAGTTGCACAATACGTAGTTAAATCCTCATCAGGGAGAGTTTGTGGTTGTTTCGTTGTCAATAAGCTGGGTTGACGCACAGCAGAGAAGGGTCGAGCACGCAACCAACCAGTTATAAGTTTAGTTCCCCTTAAAGACCTTAACTTGTGTTTGACATGTAGGTATTAGTTTCTACACACGCTTGCTCCTCTGTGTAATAACTGTGTGTAATCCTTTCGTGAGACACAAGTATATTTCCCACGTGTGCTTTTATTAATTTCAATACAGCACTGTTCTTCATCATAACAATATGTAATCTACCGAGTGAAAAGCATCGTTCATGTCCTTGTCCGTGTTCTGGCGTTAAGTTCAGTGTACTTTTGATCCACCACACTCAAGGACATACTCCAACACACTCCAGTAAGCATCATATACACACGGACACACAAGCCTAAATCCGCCAATATTTTAATACACACAAACACGTACTGAAGCAAACTTGTGTGGCCAAACCATACACTCAGCACTTAAACAATTAGCTGTTCAGTAATTATAACGGGGATGTTGGACAAAAAGTGTTGGTTGGTACCTGACGCCGTCCTGGCTACCACATCCCGTGTTGCTGTTTCTCCACTACCACCACCACCACCACACGGACACTAGAGGGTCCTCGAACCACACACACACACACACACACACAAGATGAACCCCCACGTCCAGTAACCTCTAATATATTTCAATTACCCTTTCGTCTTTTCCTAGTACCTACAAACTAAATAAACAAATGACTGTCTTGTTATCACTGTCACTACAGCTATTGAGACGATCACTAGCATAACTCCCAGTAAATATCAAGAATTATCGAACAGAGAGACTATGATGGTGATTTTAACTTATAGACAGAAGAGCACCATGGTAGAGAAGTCACCACTGCACACAGAGACCATTATATCCTCACCCCTTTACTCACCAAACATAGAGACTGAAGTGTGTATCGTGCCTTTAAATCTCTTCAGTTATAGATACCCAGGAGATGCTAGATGGATCACACACCACTATGACACACACACACGTAACACACACACACACACGCACCACACACCTCCGCCACACCCCACAGCTCACTGGCAAGCCGCTGACTGTCCTGATTTGTGGTTTGTGCCGCGATCAAGTGTAGCTCGAGGCGATGAAGCTTCCTGTCGGCTCCTCGGACCTGCACCAAACTGTTCATAACACAGCACCCTTTTACTGGTGTCGGTTTACGAGTCTTTCATTTATAAATTTAATCACTAATAAATATCATTTCTATTCATGTTTATTTCGATATTGTTGATAATTTTGGTGTGTGTTAAGAAAAACGTTGTGAAAGGCAGAAATACTAGTAACCAGTAAGTACCGTAGCTGATCAATTATTGTGATCAGGCTCCGGTCAGTATAATAATACGTTCTTTACGCTACAGGGAGGAAAGGAGAAGGTGAAAGGTGGAAGACCCGCCTTACAGGGATCTAATTCACCTCACATTAGACGAGTAACCTTGAAGGCCTTGAAGCGTTGAGGAAATACCAGTAGGCGGGGTCGAGGCTTGCCACCAGCAGCGGCAGCTTTCCCACGCCCCACCGCGGTTTCTCACGCCTCTACACCAACACAATAATGCCGACACGAGTGTTGCGTGAGGTCTAAATACCATTCTGCATTTGCATAACGGATCGATTTCTTCATGCACCAAGTTTCTCCCACAAAATACTAACCTGTCTTTCAAGCGTCATTTTTTATAAGACTTAAGTTTTGTTGTGAATTACATTTATGAAAGAAAGGAATGTCGACTAATTTACACTAATATCAGATTTAGTAGATATTCGCAATATCATTTTTGTAAGTAGTTTGTATTATAGTGTAATGCATGATGGAACTTTGTTGTTCGCGTTAGAGTTCGCTCTAACCGAAGTAAGTGTTGCTCAGGTGTATAGTTCAAATCGGGGCACAGTGCGGGGTGTGATACTATGGCGGGAGGGGAGTGAAGGATGGGGGGGTGAAGGATGGGGGGGTTGAAGGATGGGAGGGGTGAAAGGTGGGGATGGAAAGGATAGGGTTGGAGGGTGCAAAGGAGAATAAAAGTAAGGGTGAGTGAGGTTGAGAGTGAATCCTGCCAAGGAGGTTGAAGGATCTGTAGAAATCCTAACGCATTAAGAAAGTGTTGAAGATCTCGTCTTGGACACATTAACAACATGGCTGGAATTGAACTTTAAACCTGGTGGTAAGAAACCATACAGTTCCCCCCTCTCCCTCATCCCTCTCAACCCTACCACCCCTCTCATCCCACTCGCAGGTTTATTTCATTCGTGATAAATGAGATCTAGTTGAACATTCACTATATTCGTCTGGTACTCGTCAACTTTCATGAATTACTTAATGTCGCAAGCTTATACACGGGCGATTGGTGGAGACAGCAGTACAATACCAATGTTACCTCCCAGTACTGTGACTTGTGTTGAGTGTGAGTAGGGTAATATCGAGTAAATCGCTGGGTTCTCTTGTCCTAACACTAGACCGTGGGAAGATGAACTTTACACAGATAAACAGATAGATATTTTTTCAATCATCATACAAGTTTACATTGGTTCAGCATGTGTGCATATAATTTTAAACCAAGTCTAATCAGTGAGGCAAAGAAAATAATTTAAGTTACCCTTAAAATTAATTAGCGTACAAACAGTTTTCTTTGATGCCCAGCTCTCTCGTTTTCTATTATGACCTTTCCAATTCGGTGCATAAACTTCTCTACATAAAACTTACTTAGTGAACTCGTTATATATGGACACATTGGTTCTGTAAGTATATAAAGCTATATAGTAAAGAGTAAGTCATTCAATCAAAGTTAAGTTAGCCCAGGAAGAGTGTTTCCAGATTGATCAATGTTTACACGAGGCGAGAATTGGAAGAATTAAGTTCGGTAACTGCCATAGTATTTTAATTTACGTGTATGATTGCATATATATCTCGCCTGGTTTGTCGAGAAACTCAAGTAATCACACAAATTTAGCAACAGTGCCGCCGTTGCCATGTAGCGTTGGAAACCTATC